TTGCAAACAACGACAGATCAAAAGACAACAGCAACCAATCAAGATCGAGGTTAGCAGAACAAGCTACAGGTCAAACGTGGAGAAATTCGAATGCTTCACTTCTATCTGGAGTTTGTGCTGATGATGTTGTTCAGAAGAACAATGAAAGCTCCACAATCAAAACAACCAGCTCAGAGAACGAAACACCACCACAATCATCCACCTGAGCTACAAGTTTTCTCCACCATCTCAAAACCTCGTACTGTTCATCAACGACTTGTGGTTCTTAACGGAATTTCAAACACAACATAACGTGGATGATATTATGATGGTAATAAGTCTGACAATTAACAAGCTTTTCAAGAAAACGTGCATACAACAAGCTGTTAAGATCCCGTCTCCTACTATTAGCGAAAGTAGAATGTTATCGATAGATAACTATGTAACAAATTTTGGTACAGGCGGCCCTTTAGCTACGGTCCGCATGGGTACCACTCCCTCCCTTTATTATTTGAATGACCTTACTTAACAGAAATACTTGTAGAATTTATTTCGCCGGCGGCTGTCCTAATCGCGTCCAATAGAAACACACCGGTACGATACTCCTAGATCCACGTCCCAGCCAAATCAGAAAGCCGAAAATTCTAGGAGAAAACCGTCTCTATTGTTATAAAAATGGAAATACAGAGGCTTACGATGTTTATGTTTCTTCCAGGACTAAATTACCCCGTAGAGTATCTATTACAATAGCTAGTAAGTGACACTAAGTCCAGCAGCCACCGCGTCTATCCAAAAATGTGGCGGTAGCCATATTATATCAAATTTAAACAATATATGTACAGTTCAAAGGCAAACACAAAAACTTCAATATAAGTACAAAATATGGAAAGAATAACAACATACAATGGTAAAATCTCAAATTGGAATCAAATAAAATACCAAAAATGTCAAGAGAAAAAGTCCATCAGGTCATGGCAAAAATATGTAAACATGGAGGGATTTTCCCAAAAACAAAACATTCAAAAAGAATTCTACACCGGCCCGCAAAATCCCTCCATGCAAAAACAGCAAGCGTTAACGACACCTTATTTAGGGTTCCCATGTTATCCCCTAATCCACACCGGAATAACGTGTAGGACTTACAGCAGTACGCCTACCCGCCATCCAACATGGATATGACCTATCGCGCTAACTAGATACCTATACTTTCCCATCAGGCCCTTGATTCCCCTATCTATCGTGGAATGACCTAACGGTAGTATAAACCTTACCCAATTAACCCATACGAACATGAACAACGCGTCGCAAAACTGGTCATATCCTATCCAAGGACTACATTCTCTATCGTGGGGACGAGTCGCCAATCCACCACCACTTGCTCCGATCAGCAGATACCATGAAGTCCGTGATGCCAACTTATCAACAGAAGTTTTTGACCCATAAATAATATGCAAGGGTAGAATTTCCAATTTTGACATTTCATCGTCTCCAGAAGACCTTAAGTAGCATGACGTAGGATCAATATTTATCCTTCCATCTCCTGCTGCAGAGGAGGTTTGAACAGTATTCATCATCGTCGGTAACTCATTTGTCACCTCAGTGACATCCAGTTTATTGTCAACGTCTAAATGATTCCGTTCTACATTAGCATCCGTTTCCGCGGCACGAGACATATGCTCAACAATAGCATCGTCATCACACAGCACTGTAGACTGGCTGTTACCATCAAACACTTTCTTCTCATCATCACTCGACTGACGGTCAACCGTAATAGGAACAGTTACAGTTGCACAACCTTGTGCATCTTCAATCAACTTAACCTTCGTGACGAGGTCCAATGGCGTCGAAACACTAGGAGGCTCACTCGATGAAGTCGATAAACTAGTCCCTATAAGTGGACTGCTGACACTTTCTATATTCTTATTATCACTGTCACTATTGAGGTTCTGATGGCTACTATTTCCATAGCTAGTCGTAGCATCCGAAAGAGCATGAGGTTCGGGCTTCTTAGTAATAGTAGCATCATGTCTCCTAGGCTTCTTAGCCGTTACTGTACCACCATCACTTATCCTAGAAGCTACTCTAGGTCCAGTTATATAATTTACCCTAACTGAAGGGTTCCGAAAATAAGCTTTATTCCGTTCAGTCAATCCTGCCTGGGCTTTATTCATATTTGCTGAACTCACTAACCTCTGATTACTCGAATCCAAATTACCGTTCCAGGCTTTTCGAGCAGCTAAGAGGCTTTTATCGTCACACACTCCGGATCCATCTTGATGCCTACCTTTTTCACCTTTTTCTTTCTTTTCTACACTTAGAAAAGCCATCTTATCTGTTACATCAACCGGCTTCTTGCTAGGACACGCATCAAGAGGCTTTACATCGTTCCGGTCACATACTCGTCCTTCATCAGCGTATGCTTTCGTGATATAATTGACAAATCTCTTATCTTCCGAGTATGCTTTAGGTAGAAACGAAGAATCCGAATGTCTCGCACGCAGACCACTAGTAGCTTCCGTATTATTTCCTGTTTTAGCCTGATAAGCTAATCTTCCAAACCTACTACTAGCTATCTTAGCACGAGACATAATAAATTCCGTCAATTCGTTAATATTGGGCTCTCTCTCCTCTTCGTCCCACTTGAATACTAGCTCTGCCCACTGGGCTTGCATTCGACGAGGTAAGAGCCTTACTATTCGTTCCAAAGTAGTCATAGAGTTAAGTTCAGCTGTACAATTTAACTGTTCTAAAGTTAAAGAAGCATTCTGCATTTTAATGGCCAAGTTCGTCAATGATTCAGGATCATTAAATTCGACATTCCCAGTTCTAAATAAGTCCTCTAAGGTTTCTCGCGCTATCACATGTGACTGCCCAAAAAGCTGTTTTAAAATAACCTTAGCTCTCTTATATCCTGCCTGTGGGTCCATTATAAGACAGCCTTCGATCGCATTTTTAGCTTTTCCCTTACAATAATGAATTAAATACAATAAACGCACTTGATCATCCTTGATTCGAGGTTCTATAAACGTCTCTATCTGTCGTATGAACTTAAAATAGTCGCGAGACCTTCCATCAAAAAATGAGAGCTCAACCTTAGGTAATTCTAAACCCTCCATCGATGTCTTTCGTATCTGATCGGTCTCTGGTACTTTAGGACTCTCACTTAATCCTGATTCCTTAATGCCTGCCGAGGGTGACTTACAATAATAAATATCAGACATAACATGAGGGTTACCCATAAAAAGGTTATCGTCAACGACTTGCCTAGAGCCCTGTGATCCGTCGAGCTCTTCCACCGTCCTCCTGTTTGCCTTCTTCCGGCTTGACATTGTAAATGGGATTCAATACGAAAGGTAACAGATACAAAATAGAATAGTTCCAAAATTCAGTTCAGAATTAAGATAAACGATTAAAATTCCAAATGTTTCCTTGTAATTCTTAATAATCCAAATAGATACAAATTATATGCGTTCTGGTAAATATTTCCAAGTATAATTCACGCCAGAAGGAAAAACATCAGACTGTAGAATTTATTTCGCCGGCGGCTGTCCTAATCGCGTCCAATAGAAACACACCGGTACGATACTCCTAGATCCACGTCCCAGCCAAATCAGAAAGCCGAAAATTCTAGGAGAAAACCGTCTCTATTGTTATAAAAATGGAAATACAGAGGCTTACGATGTTTATGTTTCTTCCAGGACTAAATTACCCCGTAGAGTATCTATTACAATAGCTAGTAAGTGACACTAAGTCCAGCAGCCACCGCGTCTATCCAAAAATGTGGCGGTAGCCATATTATATCAAATTTAAACAATATATGTACAGTTCAAAGGCAAACACAAAAACTTCAATATAAGTACAAAATATGGAAAGAATAACAACATACAATGGTAAAATCTCAAATTGGAATCAAATAAAATACCAAAAATGTCAAGAGAAAAAGTCCATCAGGTCATGGCAAAAATATGTAAACATGGAGGGATTTTCCCAAAAACAAAACATTCAAAAAGAATTCTACAATACTTTGGGTTGTTACTTTTCTCTGACAACTAAAAACTTTGGGGAGAAATTTGTTGCCCAGATGAAAAGCCGATTCTTTAGAATCGCCTGACTCAACCTCAAAGTTTGGCCAATAAGAGCGAATTTACTCTTTAACACTTAACATAGCAAAGTAGTCCATTTGAGATGTGCTGCGGACTATTTAGATGACTTCCCTCTATAGGTGTCTCAAGTTGCAGAAAATCTAAGTGTCATGGTACCCAATGATCTAAAGTCTTACACTAACTGTAACAAAAATGGCTTTCGAGCAAACCTGATATTAGTAACGCCAAAGCGCATTTTTGATGTGTTAGCTTGTGGAACCGTACCGAAAGAACAAGAATCGAGCGCGAAGAAATCAAATTGGTTTACACTAGCTCGTGAAAAAGATATTGGATATTGGATACACTCTTTAATAGCTTTATTCTTCCCTTATTTTAAATATACAAGAAGTGTTTCCACCCTCACTCCAAAGAGACGAGAATACATTAAAACATTCGAGGACTGAAGACTGAGCCTTACGGATAGTCCTTCAAGTTACCGATATAGCATTTGCGTTTCAGTATTAACTTTCCAATGATTCAGAATTCTAAGCATTCTTGATAACCAACCAAGTTACTTAAGCTCATTCTTGACACAAACATAAGGGAAAATACTTATCAACCAGAGGTATAACCTAGAAGGACGGACTGCAGAAACACGTACTCTTAACGAGTAGTCGAATTCTGTAATCCATTTCTGAGTGTGGTAAGAGTGAATTCCCAAAAGTCCTTCAAGAAAAAAGTTGACATATTGTTTGGCAAAGAGGAAAGTAATCAAATATAACTTTATTTCGTCATTCGGTCTTTGAGTGGAACATTCTAAAAAATCGGATCACTGTTGATTCATATGGCAAGGATCCAACCATTCAACTCACTACATAACTATGAATTTGAAGATTGAATGTGGGGCATTTTTCTACTGCGTTACTCTGTGTCTTGACAATGAGAAAGAAGGTACCCCTCTGTTTATCGTGCTTCTCACTCTTAGGTTTTGTTAATGGGTAAATCTGGTTCAGGCAAAACAAGTATGAGGAGTATCATCTTTGCAAACTTTATTGCTCGAGACACTCGCAGGCTCGGCCCTACAAGTATGTATAAACACGCAGTTTGACAAAGTTTTTTTTTAGTGGACGTAGAACACACCCATTTAAGACTGTTAGGTGGATTGGTTCTAAATTTGTGGGATTGTGGAGGGTAAATCAGTTAATTAATCAGCTATTTCTTCGTAGTCAAGATGGATTTATGGAAAGTTACTTCGTTAATCAAAGAGAAACAATATTCAGAAATGTCGAGGTCCTAATCTATGTTTTTGATATTGAAAGCAGAGAAATTTCAAAAGATTTGGCTTATTACCGTTCCTGCTTAGATGCTGTAAATCAAAATTCTCCTGGCGCAAAAATCTTTTGTCTCATTCATAAGACAGATCTAGTTAGTGAAGAAAAAAAAGATGAAGTATGTCCCAGAAGTGTTGTTACTTTTCATTGCTTCAACGAAGTGCGTCTTTGAGCACAATGACACGCTTATGTATAAGCATCAACATTTTAACATTTTGTTTCTGCCCCTCTTCTTGAGTTACTAGTCTCAGCCTTATTTGTTGTTTCAGAACTAAATTTAGTAAGTTCATTTATTAGCATTGCATGAGGATACTTCGAAACCTTTTGAGAACTAGCGATCGTCAAGTTGACCCCTGAACTAGTGATAGAGAGTGAAGCAGTTGAGATTTTAGACCGCTTCACTTATCTGAGGAGCCTCTTCAGTGCTGATGGCCTGGTGACTGACGAAACCTCAGCACGAATACAGAAAGCTTGACTGACTTTTGCCAACTTCCGTCACTTATGGCGTAGACGAAATATCTGTTTGCTGACTAAAGGACGAGTGTAGTGTACATCAGTTCGCTCCGTCCTACTATATGGCTGTGAAACATGGCCAGTCAGAGTAGAAGATATTCGTAGGATACTGGTTTTCGGTCGTAGGTGTCTCCGAAGCATTGTTCGTGTATCATGAGACAACCGATTGAGCAATGCTGTCGTTAGGAGATGGGTCCTAGGTAAGGGTGGCAGATCAATTGATGAACTAATGAAACTTCATCAGTTGAGGTGGTTGGGACATGTGTTACGTATGCCTCACCACCGACTGCCTCGATAAGCTATTTTTTATGGTGTAGGAGTAGGTTGTAAGAAAGCTAGGGGCGGCCAGACCGAAACATGATAGAAATCCATGAAGTCGCTGACAAGTGGACTGAGTCATGTTGATAGGTGCTGAGTACCTGTTTGGGGTTCGTGGGACAGTAGTAACTGATAGTTTGAGACCTTGAACGACATGGCTCAAAATGGTTTGTTATGTCGTAGGTGCATCCACTTTGTGTTCTCTAAAATTCTAACCTCCTGAATTCCTCATCACCTCTGTCTTTCTCTTTTTAAATTTATTTCACTAGATTCTACTTCTTGAATAATATCTTCTAACCCTAATCTTTCTGATTACTGTTCATACTTCTACTACATCTACTACTATGGAATTCGGATCGACAATTTCTTCTGTGCTACTGTGGTATGGCAACTTTAACTGATGTACTTACGTACAAAGTTCTATGTTGTTGCTGACGCCCTGGACTTTCGGGTAACACTAAAAAGTAATTGCATATTCACTGTCAAACCTGAAAAAAGCATTTTGCTGTGTGATGAAATTATGAGAAACCCTTAGGCAAGCAATAAAATTTTCCCCGTGGTTTCTTACTAGTACCATGTCATGATGGAAGCCATCTAAAGATTTAATTTTCTAGGCCTTTGTTTTTGTAAAAGACCTTTAACTCATCAAACTATTCTGAATCTCGCCAATTCTTATTGTGCAGCTCTTATGGCCTGAAAGTTAAAATATACTTTTTCTTTCGTTGATATTTAATTAGATATTCCAAGTCAGGAAGCAGAACATCGAAGCGGTTACTAAGCCATTCACTTGTTCGTGCTTTGCTACATCTATATGGGATGAAACATTATTTAAGGCTTGGTCTAAGATTGTTTACGAACTTATTCCAAATATCAAAATGTTGGAGGGTAGTTTAAAGCAACTTTGTGAGGTACTAGAAGCTGACGAAGTAATTCTATTCGAAAGAGCAACCTTTTTGGAAATCGCTTGTCACTCTAGGATCCCACATTCTGATGTGCATAGGTAAATGCTGTGTCTGTTCACCCTAACAACTGCATAATTTAGGTTCGAAAAAATAAGCAACATCGTAAAACAATTCAAATTGTCATGTAGTAAAGTTGGAGCAAATTTCACGAAGATTGAACTGCGCAATCAGTACTTTGCTGCTTTTATTGATGTATTCACATCTAATACATATATTATGGTGGTATGTTCTGATCTATCCATTGGTAAGTGTATGAAATTCAAAGTATTCCATAGTTTTCTATTTTCACTACTTTCATTTACTAATTAAAGGTATTATAATACGAAAGATAGTACTTTTTTAAATGGCTGTGATATACACTTTCTATTTGTAGGTCTCACCTATGATGAATCCGAATCGAGCTGAGTTTGTGCCTCTGATCAAGTTGTTTGTAATCTAGCGCTTCAAACTATTGGTTAATTGTAGATTAACATGGTGTTTTGTTAGGTTTGTTTAATGCTTTGGAGTTCAGCCGCTAATTTCTAGGTCAAATTAGACACAAACGAATTGCCAGGCAACATAAATCTAATCGGTAATTAAAAGTGACATCCTAAATGACATAATTACTAAGCTTCTTACGTACAAAATTTGCAATATAGACCATAAGTTAATTTTTAATAAAAGAGAAATTTTCCACTCTTCCATTTCAAGACTTTACTGGTACAAACTTGGATTCTGTGGATACTATTTCTTATTTATCTAAGCAGCTATCAGGAACTCAAAAATAAGTAGTGAATATTGACTTTGCAGTTTGTTCACCTTTGTTTCAGGAACAATAAGCATTCTTAAACCAGTATTTACCAACCCTTACATGATTTTAACAGCGTTGTCCCCCTTGGCTGATAATCTATATATCAAACTTAAGACCTGCGCGGAATATCACTGATCTTTTGCTTTCCAGGATCATATTAATTCAAACCCGTAGAAAATTAATTGATGCTCTCGTTATTAAACTGAAGTGTCGAAAAGCAGATATGCTTTTAGTGTATATGAAATCCAGTGACTCCTGTCAGTTGAGATATCAAGTCATATTTCAAAAGTTGCTGATCATTTCTCATTTCCACAAACGTTCCTAATCTTGTTATAATTACGGTCATAATAATCAGAAGTATATTTTGTACCGTTTGCCAAGTCTCAAATTGTTCAAAGGACAGTTCACATTAATATCCATTTACGAATGCTGAATATTATAGATCAAATATGCTTATATTCTATTGCGGTAGCTAAATAATTAAGGATTACTGATTTTCGCCTTGTCGGACTCAGTTACGATTTTATGATCAAGTATTTAATATTTTGTGATTTGTTTTAAATTGGCATTTTTCTCGACTTCTCAGCGTCCTCTGCAACTTTACTGAATATTCGCAATGCACGTAAGCACTTCGAGTATTTGGAAAAAATCGAACAACCACACTCGGCGATTGCTCGTTGTGGCTAGACACTTGCATCTCTTGATCGTTCCTTGTTTCCATCTGGCATAACTTTTCAACTCCTGATTCTAATATGAATGTATATTAACCTTCATTTTTCATTTGGAACATAGTCATCATAGTACGTCAGTTGTTGTACAGACTTATTTTAATTTATTGCTATTCAGTTGTACAATTTCGGGAAATTGTGATAATGAACTGAGCACACAATCTCTTTTTGTTTTACTAATATTCCTGAATGGAAATTCGTGACTATGGATGAGTTAAGCATGCTATTTTCATCTTATATATTATCTTTAATCCTTTACTGTTGTCGAATTTTCATCTTGATTTCCGGTTTTTAAAATATTTAACAAAATGTTTATGGTTTCGCATTGTATATTTTCAGTATTACTCATTCGAATGAATCAGTGCATAAAAATATTTTTTTTGTGATTAATACCAACTAGGCTATCATTCCAAGATGATTGGTATTCATGTTATGATAATGTATAAACAGATTATCTGATTTTCGATTTCTACGAGCTATTTTTTTACTTATACTGTTATCACAACAGTTATCTTTTTCCCAATTCTCATCGTGATTGTAAAACTACATGATTATCTTGGTGACTGATTGTATAGTTAATTATCATTTTTTTGTTTTCAAGTACTTACTATGTAGTATTGGACTTACTTGGGGCATCAAATTATAGACCAGACTGTAGCTACTACCTTCACATAGTAAACCGGCTTGCTTGTCGAGATGACCTAACTGCTATATTGACTTATTATATGTTATTAAATACAGGGATCGTCAGATAGTTATAAATAAAAGAAAAAGCAGAAAATACAAGTTTCGAGGAGGAAGTCGTATTACAAACACTAGGACATACGGATAACTAATATCTCCCACGGCTCTCCTTTCACAACGTAATGACCTTGGAAACAGCATACACCACCTTACCCCACAAGTTTCCGGTGCAAGTAATAGAACTAAGAAAGTACAGAAATAACAGACCAGAAATTACTCATTGGTAGCTCGACTGGATCTGACCCTTGGTGGTTATCCATTTAATTTCTATGGTCATGCTTTCAGGTCGTCAAGTTCATCACTAACCATGAAGGTCAGTCAGTTAGCCACGACGCAGAACTTCGTGCGCATGCACATCAGTTCAAGTTGCCATACTACAGCACAGAAAGATCAAATTGTCGATTAAAATCTCAGTGATAGACGTAGTAGGAGTATTAGCGGTAATCAAAAAGATTAGGAATCGAAGAAATTATTCAAAAAGTGTAATCCAGCGAAATAAATTAAGAAAAAAGAAAGATAAAGGTGATGAGCAATTCAGAAGATTAAGATTTGAGAGGACGCAAAGAGTGGATGCACCAGCACCATTGCAGCGATTTTGACCCATGTCATCCAAGGTCACTAACCATCAGTTACTATCGTCTCGCGAATCCCAACCAGGTAGTCTGCACTTACCTACATGAGTCAATCCAGCTGTCAGTGACCTCATGGTTTGTGCCATGTTTTGTTCGCCACTACCTTTCTTCCAACCTACTTCTACACCACAAAACATCACTCGACGAGGCAGTCAGCGGTTGGACATTCGTAACAAATGTCCCAACCTGTAGTCGAAAACCAGTAAGTAACCTTTAGTACTGTTTCAACAACAAAGTGCGGTCCATGTTCGTTATCCTCAAAATCCATAAGGAATCTGAAGGTAGTACACATAATCTTATAAGGGTTGGTATCTGAAGAGTTTGGAGCACATATTGTAGAATAGCGGACAAATATGTGGTGAGAAGTGGACGTATTAGGAGAAATGGCCAAGGGGAAGTAGATATTGGAAGAGCAATAAACTTTGTTACTCAGAAATTCCGCGTTATACAATTTCCATCATACTTGAGGAAATCTTTGCTTGGATGATGATCATGAGTACCCGCTATCCCCAGTTTAGTTTCATCGTACATATCCTCTTAAGGATCACTAGTTTTTCAGAACTTGATCTTTTTGAAGACTAACTTAGCAGCACGAAGGTTATAAATGCCATGAAACTTAGATATAACACAGTCTCCCGAACATCTTGTTGAAGAATATAGGCATGTTCGAAATATTTCTCTCTATCAAGTAGCTTGGTTCGTCGACGTTACTTTTCGAAGTTTACTTAGGTTTACTATCTGACAAAATCTGAATTCGGACTCAGAAGTACTGTGATGTGAGCTACTTATAAGTAGTATATGACGTGAGTGAAAACATAATGTCTGGCAGCAGAAGATGGGGGAAGATCAAGAAAAGAAGAGTGGGAACACAATGGAATTTGTATGAAACGCATGAATAGTGACAATGGATTGATGTTTTACAACAGGAACAGTCCAGTTCGATATGATGAACTGATATTTTGCAAATTAACGATTTACGATATGGTTTTCCAATTTTACTGAGTAACTCTGTAATTTTCGCTAAATACAATCCGGTTGCCCCACCTGTGTTCTCGTTCACTACAGTACATTTGATTTTCTCATGGGGGAGATAACTGTCTGAACGTCAGTCACCTGTGTTACCCTATGGTTATGAAACACAGAGTATTGAAGTAAAGTCATGTTGGTTGCAGTTCCTTCAAATAATTCCCTTGGTATCGTGTGATGACCAAGCGGGCGTTATTAGGCTTACAGGTACGCTTATTGGCGATTCGATTTTGAATCATTGGTTGGCGTATTTGAGACGTATCACGGATGTCTAGACGCCGCCTATATTGACATGTAATTTTAGAGGCAGTCGAAACGAGACATGGCGTTAGTCTATGGCACTACTGACTGTTGATAGTCAGAGACCACTTTGTCAAGAAAAACTGAGCGACATGTCTCAGAATCAATTACTTATTTATGTACTTCTCTTTCGCTAGGTCTTGAGTCTCCGTAAGTTTCACTACGTATTATTCCGCGCCTTTTCAATATCTGATCCTTTTTACTACAAGTTTTACCACAACTGTGAATTTCTTGTCAATTTTATTAGGCTGTGATAATTCGGAATAGGGTTGCGCAGATTTTTATGTTAACTAACTGATTCGACTTACAAAGGTGTCAAGAAACAGTAAAGATATGACCTGCTGTCATCTCTCATAATTTTCCATTTATCACAATGAACCTTTGACAATTATCACGAATAACCTTTTGGGGGCAATTTATCATGCCTAAACACCATTCAACTAACGTATTTGTGTGGGTCCAATTTTAGATATATCAAGGTCCAGAAATAAATTAACCTGATCAAGGATATAGTCTTAGCTTTCTCTATTCAACTTGTTTCTACTACAGAACAATTATCAGGTACACTATTAATTCAACTCCACCTTAAGACTTCTTGGTTGAATTAGCCTGAAGTACAAGAATTTCGATTAGCATTACTCGTTCTTCAGAACTGCTGCGTAGGTAGGCAAAACGCGCCGCACTTAGATTTGTTAACCCATGAACTATTAGTATTTAGAAGCATTGTTGGTGATTATGAACAGTACTTCACACAAACGGTCTCAACTGGCAGTTATCTTCTCACCTTATGTACAAAATTCCCGTTAAAACTAAAGCAACTATTGATGTCAGAGGTGTGACAGGATTTTATTGTCAAAAAATATACATAATTATAAATTCTGGTTTCTGTAATTCAGCTAGTTCCATTGGCAAACAGATTTGTAAGACCGAAATCGTTTTCAATGTAAGACGCATTCTTGTTCTCACGTGTGCGAAGCCACTTAGGTCGGTGTAGAGGAGGTATATTGTGTATTTGAAATTCATTACGAAAACGTTGGCTGAGAGGAACCTAAAATGAAAATCAGATATTCATTAGAGCTGAAAACATGGACGAGTTTTATCAACGTTCAAAAGAATAACTATTCTTGTTTCTACATATAACAGCAAATGTATAGGAAATTCCTGTTACAGCAAGCTATTTATTAAAAGGGAAAATAGTGATTACGAATCACAGAATTTTTCCTCAAAAAAGTGCCACTATTAATCTAGCATACTTTAAAATGCTGGGTTATGTTCAATATGGGAAGGTGAGCAACTGCTTAAAGATGGATTCGCTGCTCTCTATATAAATGAGGTTAACTGGGTACTTTGCTTATTGACGATTGGAAACCTCGTTAAAAATTCCGTATTCTTAAGAAATTTCTATTAGATTTTATCATATTACATTTCACGACTTCTCGCCACAACTTAGTGATGATCGTACTGATACACGCTAATACTTCGTCCGTAGTAACGAACATTCTTTATTCCGTAGAACACCAATTTTTTCGTTAAGCTCTTGTGAATGTGGGTTCCAGTAGTTATGAGGAATAACTTATAGAAGATGCTTAAGTCGGTACGTAATGAAAGGAGAAATAACTGCACCAGATGTAAGTTTTTTTAATACCGAACAATGTATCTAACCCGATCTTAAGAATGTTTCAGACAATATGCATAATATATAGAGATAGGATCTGATAGTAAACTACCACAATATTAAGTATACACACGTTGAAGGACTTGAAACAGGAGTAATCGCGAAATCTGTAATTAATCATGACTTATAAGTTTTAGTGAAAACTATTGGTACGGATTTAATATGGACAACCTTCTTAGCCTTATTCCGTAACAATGACGTAGTTCTACAAATTACCAGGACAAGCAATCTGGAGGATTCTGTATTTGAAGAATGGCAGTAAACTTACGCTGTGTAGTTAAAAAAATTCGAACTCAGTATACTGGAGCGTTAAGTGAACAAGTAAAATTGGATACTAAATGGGCTAACGCACAAAGCTCACAAAAGAAAAAAACTCCAGGTGATAATAAAATGAAAGTAGTAGTAAAAGTATGATAAACTGACGGTCTTGAATTAACAATCAGAATCAAGATAACGCGCAAAGTTTAATGCTCAGATAACTTTTCATTGTTAACGAAATTGGCAATATCTGATCCTTGAAATAAATGGAATCCAAAAAGATTCCTATTGAGACCAGAAAGTGAATGTGAGATAGTGGTTAGGCTGAACTACAGGATATACCTGCGCCTACGGACAGTCAGTCAGTTACACAGTAGAACTTCGTACGTACGAACATCAGCTCATGTTGCCATACCACATCGGCACAGAGAGACAATTGTCGGTTCAAATCCCGTAGTGGTAGAGATAGTAGAAGTATTAGCGGCTACAGAAGATTAAGGCTCGAAGATATTACTCAAGAAGCATAATTCAGTGAGATAACTTTAGAAAGAGAAAGGTAATGACAAATTCAGAAGATTAGAATTCTAGAGAACACAATGAATAAATGCAGCTGCACAAATACAAAATATTTCGAGCCATGTCGTTCAAGGTCTCTAACCATCGTTGAATTTCATCTCGCGGACGCCAAGCAGGTACTCTACACTCACCGACAAGACTCAACCTACTTGTCAGTGACTTCATGGATTTCTGCTATGTTTTGGTCTGGCCGCCAATAGCTTTCTTCCAACCTACTCCTACACTGCAAAACATAGCTTACCGAGGCAGTCGGTGGTTGGGCATATGTAACATATGTCCCAACCATCTCAACTGATCTATCATTCTTACCCAGTGCCCCTTTCATAACAAGTGCATTGGCTACTCGGTTGTCCCAGGATACAAGAGCAATACTTTGAGGACATCTATAATCGGATACTAATAACCTACGAATTTCCTCTACTCTGACTGGCCATGTTTCACAGCCATATAGTAGGACGGAGCGAACTGATGTACACTACACTCGTCCTTTAGTCAGCGAACAGATATTTCGTCTACGCCATAAGTGACGGAAGTTGGCAAAAGTCAGTCAAGCTTTCAGTATTCGTGCTGAGATTTCGTCAGTCACCAGGCCATCAGCACTGAAGAGGCTCCTCAGATAAGTGAAGCGGTCTAAAAGCTCAACTGCTTCACTCTCTATCACTAGTTCAGGGGTCGACACAAGACAATCCTAAAGCAACATTTTGCATTTCAAAGGGGAGAATCGCATCCCGAATATGCTTGCATTGTTGCTTAGGGTAGTCAGTAAACACTGCATTTTGTCAACTTCTTCACCATGTAGAACTATGTCATCGACACATTCTAAGTCAACAAGCGACTGTCCTGGTAGAAGGTCAAATCCTCAAAGTGACATGATGAAAGTATAATCTTTAAAAGCATGCCAATAACAAATCTGAATAAGAATGGAAAAAGTGGACATCACTTGAAGTAACCTATTCCAATAACAGTTTGCCATAAGCTCTAGCTCAACTAGGAGTGTTCGAGTGGGGAGCTTGTATAAGGTGAATGTACTTCTCTAGTACACCTTGTAATGACAGACACTGTCACACAACCTCATGATCAACAGAGTCGAATGCTGCTTTAGGGTCCAGAAAGACAACTACAGTGGGACGTTGAAATGTGTGTCTGTGTTTCAGGACCAGTCGTAGTGTGAAAATGTGGTCTATACAGCCACGTTCAGGTCTGTAACCAGCATGGTTTTCTCCAGTCTGCTGCTCGCAAGCTCTAGTTAGGCATCGGAGTATTATCAAGGCTAGCGACTTAGAAACTACATTAGTTAGACTGACTCCTCTGTGATTGTCACAAGAGGACTTTTGTCTTTTTTTTGTAGACTGGGGCAATCAGGGATTGAGACCAGTTCCCAAATTTTACCTAGGGTGCCAGTCGATCTACCTACTAAAAGTGGACCACCATCCTTAACAATCTCAGGCATAAGCCTATCAGGAGCCCCTACTCTCCCTTGCTTTAGATTTCCTATAGCTTTCTCAACCTCATAAAGATTCGAGGACTTACATTGGTTTGCTGCCTTAGGACTTGCTACTATACCTATGCCAGCGAGGACACGGGAAGCAGCATCAAGGCTATCAGATACATGAATTGTAAACCGAGTTGATTCTCTATCTGGACAGGGTGATATCACATTAATGATTTCGTTCGGATCTTTTATGCGAGTTTCCGAGGTGCAGCATACATCAATGGCGCGAGATTTTAGAGTCCTTGCTAAGGAAGCCTGCTGTCCTACTTGGCACAATCTCCGGACATAAAAAGCTCTAACATGTAGTTTGGAGCGTGGTTTCAGTAGACCGGGAATTATGTTTCGTGAATGTGAATCGTTTGTATTAGCGGTGCGGAGTGATAAAGGGATGTAAGAAGGATTAGTTGTGTAAATAAGACGGATATTAGGGGGTGTAGGAAGGATTTGATTGTGACCAATTTGGTCTTGTGCATTCTTACGGGTATGAGGGCGGATATCAAGTCCTGGCTGCCCACAACGTGGAAGAGCGCCTAAGGTAGATTGTGTTAAAGTATGTGTTGCCATTTAATGCGCTATCAAGAGTGCTTAGTGAAGGCACTTAAATTTGTTAACAAAAGAATAACAACGCATTTCATCATCAGTGATTTCATTTCGTGATGAAAATCCTAACTTAATTTACTAACGCAACTCAAAAATACAGCTTAATGCAGAATCGTAACCTTGACTCATAACACTGATCTGATTGCTTTTTTTTACTACAAGTAATAATTCAACATATGAGGATTAATTAATCAGGTTAAAGCTATGGTTCCACCATTATTTTATTGCTTTATTTATTTTATTTCATAACGCGACAGCGTTTTTCGATTGTCAGATAGGTCACTCAAGGTAGTCGGTAAATTATACTTTTACTGAAAAAAGTTGCAAAACGTCATACAAATAATGAGTGATGATATCAGAAAACAACTCACTCCAATAATAGGATCAACAATTTTTTTAAAAGCATCACGCCTAGCCCGCATTGTTGTTGGTCTGTTTTGGTTACCAAACATTTTCTCCTCAAAAATCTAGAATTTATTAAAAGCTTATGGTGAGAATTTTTATAATTTGTGAAAATTGTAAATAAAAATTTATTAATGTAATTATATGCCATTGTATAAAATATTCTCTTAAATAAATAGCTACGGCATCTTTTTCACACACAGTTAATATCAAAGTGTGTTGGATTACGCACAGAACTACATGTTTATTGCGAAAGAAAGCAGTTATCACTGTAATAAAGAAATTTTTATCGATGAATAGTTACACTTTGTAATGTCCTTACAATAACCATTATGCAGACAACATTTGGTTAACAAAAAAGAAACAAAGACGACAGACTTGCTAATCTATACCTGAAGGACGGCCTAATACCAATTTGAATCAACTGAAGAGAAAGAACAAAGCCAAATCACCACTAGACCAAGATTGTTGTTGCATTGTAGACATTCATTGATATACACATCAGATTAATTAAATTACACTATTAACAAGGAACAACAAAACTGATGATAGGAAAAACGGAGTAATGAGTACATAAGTAATCGGTTTTAGTTTATGGTTGAAAAGTGATACAGCATAAATTTACCGTTTAAATAAAAGTTAAGAATTAGGGTAGTCTGAAAATAATAAGATCGAAATACTAAGTAAATATGCAATTATTACATACAAATAAGACCTTGGAAAAATAACTTGGAAAATTTGTTACATCCTAGTTAAATAAAAAAAAAACGAGAAATTAATTTTTATCTATTGACAAACATACACTGAAGACTAGTAATGGGATATTTCAATATCATTAAGTTATATATATAGTCAGTGATAGAGTAAATAAAAAAAAACATGAACTATCAATTATAGTTAAAAAAACACATATAAATTTTTACAGGGCAGCAAAATACACTTACTTGCAGTTGTTGTTGTATTTGAACTTCTTTAATTTTATCACCGCCTAATGTATCCATTAAAACACGAGTCATAACAGATCGTAAATTTTGTCTGGCCACAATAATATCCACAGCTAGATACGTTTTAATTCCAGCGTATAATAGACAATTTAAAGCATTTTCTGCATTTTTACCATTTACATGTAAACCACATAAGATTCCGAATAAAATAAATTCTGCAATATCAGCAGGTAAATGTGCAGTAGCAATTTTTGGACCACAATTGGTCTGAGTGACAGTATTGGTCAGCTTTAAAAATGAATTATCAAAAAACAGAGATGACAATAGATTTATACTTTCGATAAAGTTTGGTAATGATTATTTATACATATTATAATTGTGGTGAAACTGATACGATAAATAAACTAGTCAGAACTTATCAAATTACAAAACGTACTGACGTAGTGTGGAAGATTAAATGCACCGGGGTTAGTCATGCTTCACAAACAACTTGACTATTCAACTAATCAAAAGATTATTTAAATTGACCTACTTAATGTCAATCAATAAGTAAGTTTCGAATGATTTAGTCAACTTTGAAATATATATTAGGTATGAAGATTGGTGACATTGCTTACTCATCAAAGCTGAAGTGCATGGATCACAGTTTAGAATAGTAGAAATGTTCGGTGTCAAAAACAATCTGAATCTTTGAACTGCCTGTAAAAAATAAAAATTATAGTTACTAAGTGAACCGCGTTTACTATACAACTTACACTTTTCTTTAGTCTGTTTAGATTGATTGATAGTTAGGGCAGTTGGTTCGGTAGTAGAATGGAACATTTAGAAATTACAATGTAGTGCATAAAAACTTGTAAGTTTCTGTAGTACTCTAATACGACGGATTCAAATAGGTCAAATATTTGTTGTCTGAAATAACTTAATCACCAAAACAAAACAAAGATGAATCGGCTTATTGATTTATACAGTAACTAACTACTTGACATAAAGTGTACAGTCATAGGTGTCAAACATTGAAAAGCGACTGGCGGGAAGCTGTAGGTTTACGCTTATGCTAGTAAGCTGATATGTTGATACTAATCTGTTTATGAATTGTCATATTATTTAATCAATGAGAGCCGACCACATTCTATAAAACAACTTTACATTGTAGCCACTTAACTAATCATCTAACATCAAACAAAAAGTGCCTCGATATCTAGACACTAAGCTTAGTGGTAAACAAGATCGATAGAATCCAATAAACACCAAAAGTTGAACAGTGTGACAGTACTTAACAATTATTGAAATAAAATGACTAGTGATTAGAGATAAAATAATTTTATGATAACGCTCATGACCGCAAACACGAAACTTTATGATATTCCAAAAAGACTAACCATCTCAATCAGAGTTGATATCCACTGTGCAGCTTTAGAGCAGATTGAAGTATCAGGCCAAGCCAAAACTTTCGTTAGTGAACGTAAGAACAAAGGATCTGAAGGAAGATTTTGTGCATTATAGTGTGGTTCCGATGACACAGAAAGCAGTTTTATCAACAATTTTCCCAAATGTCCAAGTGAATTACTTGCACCTGACTGCCCATTTGCGCCTAATGTTTCTGACATGTCTACATCATCATTATCTTCATCGAACTCTCTACCATCTTCCTTCGGACTGTTAAGTTGTTCAGATATTTCATAGCCATTAAAAGTGTAAATCAGGCCTAAAATAAACAAAAACGAAATATTTTACTACTGGTATTAAAAAAAAAACATACGACTGAAGAAAATTCTTCTCAATAAATGTTTATCAGGTTTACCATTCAAGTTTCAGCTAAATACGTATATTAAAATAATAACACGTCAATTTAGATTTATTAGTTCAACAAATTTATCAATTTCACCACAGAGTTGTGAAGATTGTTGAATTTCATTGAAATCAGAATACGCTCACTAGTGACTAGCTTCGTGAGGAAATTCTCGAAGTTCTGGTGAGAAGTCGTGACAAATGAAGTTCAACCCTGTCGGGTGTAGGTTTACCTAGAGAAGGTAATGGTTGAGGTTGATTAGTACCTTGGATTGATTAGAGTTAGACAGTAACACCATTAGATGACAGCTCAGTGGTCTACAGGTTAAGCATTCGCGTGCGAGACCGAATGTCCAGGGTTCGATACCCGCTAACGGAGATCGTGGATACGCGCTGCTGATAAGTCACATACTAGGGTCGTCCAGTGCTTCCACGTTTTTACTAGTGGTCTAGCAATGGTCAATCCATGATTTCAATGAAATTTGTCATTGTTGAAATGATTAGTATGTAATGTCAACTTGAATGGGTTTATATGTAAATTAGCTTTTTTTGAGATTAAAAATCAATGATAAATATTAATAACATAAATGGCGATAGAAGAATAATGTTATTGAACATGGAATCAAATTTTCAACTGTACTGTAGTCCGAAAGCAGCACCAATAATTCAAATATTCTGAAAAAAATCACGTTTATGTAACAGAATAAGTTATTAAACCAAATGTATTTTTATGTACACAATATGGCTTAAGCTTTTCCAGAAGGATATCACACAAGATTGAAGATAAAAGTATTTTATTTAGCAAGTGAAAGGATGTGGTAGTGTTTCGTTTTCTGAGATGGATGTTTTGGTTGTGGAGCTGTCATTATTCTTCTGAACAACATCATCAGCAAAAACTGCAGACAGAAATTAAGTATTCGAATTTCCGTACGTTTGACCTGTGGGTTGTTCTGCTAATCTTGAGCTTGATTGGTTGCTACTGACCTTACACCTATCGCTGTTTGTAACTTTGTTTTGATTGTACCAAGAAACAGATCCAGCTCAGCGAACAAAACATCACCACAATCATTCACGTGAGCTACAAATTTTATCCACCGTCTCAACTGAATTGTGTTTAAAACACATGGATTGCTTTACTACCCTGAAATCATTAATTTCCTGATATCAAATGGTGACATACTCATTTTGGAGATTTGTGAACTACAGAATGGTAAAAGATAGGATTTCTTTTTTTAATATTAGTAATTTCATTCGAATTTAGATAGATGGAGTGAATAACTCGACATACATATCATATCATGAACGTAAAAGAGGCCTATAAGAGGTTAACATATAAGCGAACAATAAGCCTTTCTGGGTTTTCTTTCATGAGAAAACGAAATGAAGCATACGAACTATGGAAGTTGAGAGTTAATGTGATTGATGCATACGATATTAAGTCATTTACTACCTTGACCTGTGTATGAAGATAAATACGTAGGAGAGTATATTTATGGAATGTAAAAACTCCGTTTTACATAATTAAGTAATAATTATGATAGCAAGATTATATTGTTAAAGAGACGAATAGAGAAACATTAAAACACATGGTAAGCCATATGTTAATAAAATGAACCATTTCATTTTATTAAATAATAAACAATTCTAAAATGTTATGACTAAGTAGTTAGTAATGCAACAATAAAAACTTGATTACATGATGATAAAAATCAAAAACTTACGCAATATATCCAAACATGTTCGACTCAACAAACGAGTTGATCTGTCCAGTACAAGTTCAGCTGCAACTGCTTCTTCATTTTCACAGTTACGTCCACTAAAATGTAAGTAATTTAAAATGAAAAGTCTAGTCTAAAATCGACTTTAGTATAATTTAATGAGAAACTATACACTTCACTGATTCAACACTAAACATGACTAGGACCTAACGTAAATTAACAAAAAATATCCTTCATCACACTGAAATAATACAAACTACAGTCAATATAAAACTTGAATTTTAAAGGTGACGTAGCTACGAACGATATTTTGTAACAATTTAATTGGAAGGAAACTTTGTTATCACAAACTCATACTAAGAAATTTGACAGAATCAGTATCCTTACTAGCAACCGTTCAAAGAGTGAAGCATTGAAACAGATTAGTAAGCAATACATTATTTGGTTGTGTAAAGGTAAGCTAGTGGACCTACTAAGTTATGAATGTTTTCTCGTCATCAATAATATGCGGGGCAGGAATACCTTATCTAGGTTAGCTTATAAGGTGAAAACTGACGAAAATAATGTGCCTTAGTATTTTATCTATAGTTAGCAGTATTCTTTTAAAAATTTTTCCTATTATACGAATTTTTGTGACACAAATTTCTAAAAATATCACAATAATATCTGGTTTCTAATTGGTAAATCCTTTTTATGGAGCTAACTATATGCATTTACAAATGGATTACTTGTAGTCTACCAACAAGTTCAACCGTATATTTTAATTATAAGAATCAGACGAAATTATAACCAGAGTAAATATGAGTGTCTGAATACAGAAACAAGGATTGTACGCATTAGGAATGATGAAGAGTCATATTCTATAATAATATTTATTTGATATTTAAGATTAGTTCACGGGAATAGTAACACATACTCTGTCATGATTAATTCATCCCATCTTGCTCCAGTTCTCTGGAAAAAAAAATCGAAACAGAATCACTATGAGTAATTTGTACAGTTAAATTAGTTTACCATTAATTGGATAAATACAGCTTGATAACTACTGACAAGTTCACACGATATCCCGACAATACAAGTCAGTTTCTTACATGAAAGGAAACTGTATAAGACTGGCATCTGTTGGTCCTTCACGACTTCCTAGTTGGGATTCTAGAGATGCTGCGATTTAATGGTTTGAGACGTTATCACATATGGCCCAGAACAGAAGCCACTGTCGGTAGTAAATTCCCTTTAATTTCTTTATATAAGTGAGGAGGAAGTTCTTTAAATAAAGGAATTTTTTCTGGTTGTATTGTCCTTAACTTTAATGTTTCACCCGCTATTGTTACAATTATTTCCCTTTTATAAACTAATTTCTACTTACTTTTCTGCTTCTGAACAGCTGACGTACAAATATGTGCAATTATACAAAACACCGAACAATTAGGTTCATCACTAGGTATGCTTGAAACTGTAACGGGTTCACCTTATTCGATAACGCGAACGAGACAATGAACCAGCGTCCAGGTAGTCTACCCTGATCTGATGACTAATGAAAAGTCTTGATGTAGCGTAGAAAGTATATTCTGCAAACAATCAGCAAGCACAATACGCTCAAGCACAAAAATCTCGTTTATTTATACATTATAGAAACGTCCTTGGGTCAGTCGCAAAAATAGCACATCAAAATACACAGCAGCCAACCACAACCAAAGATTTTCCTGACGAGAAACGGAATCTCAAGGTCAACTGATCAGCCCATGCTCGCAAACGTGAAATCCAAAATAAAGCATTTTCAAGCGAGTTCTGGGGATCGAGCGTTCCCAACACGAACTTGTCTCAAAAACGATGCATTTTAACCAACTATTCGGAATTCAATGGTTCAAATTGTCACTCTACCAGTTTTTACCTAGTTAAATCAAATGTTTACTGCACGAAGTATATACTTTATGCCTAGAATGACATTTTGACTCTAAAAAAACGTAATTAGATAGATGACTATGGTTTCACTTATGTTTAGTTTAATATCTGAGATGTGGATAACCCTGTGAGAATGAGATGAAAAAAGACCTTACCTTGATAGCAGCTTCAATTATTGGTGGGACCAAAGGAATGATAGCTGTTTCGAAATATTGCCTAGGACACTGACGGATAAAGGGACGAAGAATAGATCCTAGGTTAATTGATCACAGTTAAGAAAAATAGGCCTGAAGGTATCTGAAAATCTGTGTATAATAAGTAGGATGACTTTACACAATCATACCAAGTAGGTAGCATTAAATGAAGTTTGTAATGAAAGTGTATTCTTTATAGCATGTATGGGCCATACATTTTATTGGTAAACTTTATCATAAGTAACCGTCTGACTATCTCAATATCCGTTCAGTTAGGTGAATAGGGGATGAAATACACTGTTTTGTTTTAGAAATTTAGGTTTAAATTTTGACAATGCACAACTCACTGATATCAGTTTTCAATTTACACAATCACGTTCATTTCAGTAGTGCTCTAGTATGGATTACATTTTTAATTAGTGATTTGCATTTGATTGATAAAGTGATTGGTCTTTATGATTGGACTTTAAATAGTTTTTAAATACAAGCTTAAATATGTCGGTTTTTGGATTAGGGCAACAATTACCACCATTTCAGGTTATTTATGATTAACGAAAAAGAATTTTGCCAATAATAAAATTTCTAACTCAAAATGTAACTATTTTACAAGCTTAATCAAATGCACTCAAGGCGAATGATGTTTCTTAAAAGAATATGCTATTCATTAAAATCAACAACATCAATCAAAACAACCAGTTTAAACGCATGCACAGTCTGCATATTCTTAAATTCTTAATGACAGTAATGGTATTAAATTTACTTAGTTTTTTGTTTATAACTTCTCAGTCATATATATAAAGCTCGAGCAACACTAAACTAGTATGATACTTAAATAGTTTTAGTGGAAAATGATTCGTTTACACTGAACTCAAAAATAATAAAAATTGTAAAAATGATAATAATAAAACAGGATTTTCTAAAGGATACGTAAAAGACCATTCAGCTTGAGGTCGGGCAGATGTTCAAATGCAGCACAACAACCATCGTGCAATGCGATTCTTATTTGCTCAGTCGGCAAAAGATAGAACTTTGATCCCAATGCAATAAATAAAAAGCCAACTATCGCCATTAGATTTTCATGACATTCATTGAGAATATTACGCAAATGATGCAACGAAGGATTTGCAGCATTTACAGACTATTATAAAACAGATTATAAATAATTTCAGAAAGGGACTTAATATAGGAGTTTTATGGTAATCGATAGATTTTCATTGAAAAACAGGAAGCATCTAACCAGTTCGTCCTAGTACGAGACACCTTATCAGTACACATCCACAACCCCGCCGAGGGGGACTAAACAAAAGACCTTTGAACATGTATATACTACCGGATTCCAGATCAGTGGCTGAGGGGTTAAGTGTTTACACGCGAGATTAGAAGGTTTTGGGTTCGGCCTTCAGTGGTTAATGTGTGAACACTTACTGCCGAAGTGTTCCGGAGTAGGATGAGGCAGCTGTTCAGAGCCTCTTAGGTTTCAGTAGTGGTTTATCTAGAATCAGTTTGTGATTTCATCTGCAAGAATGAGGTTTCTTCAGTTGCAATACAGGATCATATTAGTAATAAAATCTTTTTATGTAGTAGTTGTTAAACTGAAACCAGTCACTTAAACTGTAATTTCAACCATCTCTACAATACGCTACTATATCAGAGCTAGAAATTATTATTTTGTTTTATGATGTTTAGGACATAATCTGTTGTAGGGAAAGAATGAATCAGCTACAAAGTAATGAGTTCATACCATATCTTACTTAATTTTGTTGCAACAATAATGAAACCAATCTAGGATCCAAATCTTTTTGTGTGTGACCTTAGGTTTTCAATAATGTGGTATTTCTGATCTTGTTGTACAACTTCTCCCTGATGGTCAAACGGATAATTATACTCGCATTCTACATGCGACCATTTAGAGGAAAAAGATTATATATTTCCTGCTTTCTAATCGCTTAACTAATATCATTGCAACTATTAAGCTGAATGAAGCAAAAAACATACATAATGATTTCACTTCGTATAATCCAACTTCATACGAATAGATAATCCGTTCCAGCTGATCGTTCGATAGACAGAAAAATGCTTAGTTTGATCCATTTTATATTACTATGTTTATCATATAATTGTTTATTTAACCTCTTCGCAAACAAAAACGATCGTGCTAAATATGCTATTAATAAGAAAACACTCCGACTGTAGCTGCTACCTTGACGTGTTGGTTGGGAATGATTATCGTGATAACCCAACCGAGCAGCCAGGAAGTGACATCCGCCCTCGTACTCGCAACAACACACGAGATCCAACTGGCCACAATCAAATTCTTCCTACACCCACTTACATCTCTGTTATCTCCACAACTAACTCTTCTCACATCCTTTATCACTCCGCACCGAAAGCTTTCGGACCTCCAAAAAGCTAGGTACTCCAATGTAGTAATAATGGCTGGTGACTTTAATGATCAAGAAGGTAGACTGAGTGAAAATGAAAGATACCTGGGTGGATCTTATGGTGTTGTGGCTAGAAGAGCAGATAATGGAGAACGTCTGCTGCAACTAAGTTCAAATAACCACCTATTTCTAGCAAACACTAGCTTTAGGCATAAGGAAAAACATCTCTTGACCTGGCGACCCAACGATGGATCCAACTAGATCACATAGCCACTAGCCACCGATGGAGGGGTTTCATACAGGACTGTCGCTCGTTCTCGGGGATAAGTTTGATTCAAACCATGCTCTAGCACAAGTGCGTATTTTTTTTGCGGCTTACAGGAATAAACACTATTAGTGTTCTACTTAATGATATCAAAACCAACAGTATATTTCAGGAGCAACCAGAACAACACTTAGGCAGTCATCTAACTGATTCACACAATAACGGAGCTCGGAACGATATCCAAAAACATGTGGAAACAACAGTGATATCTACCAGTGAGGCAAACCATAAAGGTTCAGGGAGAAACAGTGGGTCTCAGTGGCATCTGCCGAACCCATAGATGCTCGGAAACTCATCCCAAATGGCTCCGAATATCATGAGGAGCGCAGTCACCTCAAGCGCAGGCTGATCAAAAGTCTACGCTACGGTCACGAACACTGCTGGGTTGCGAAAGTAAGAGAGATGCAAAGGGCAGTGGAAATAGCTTACAGTAGGAAACTGTTCACACTTATCAAGGAAACCAGTATTAGGAATGAAATCCGACTGTTCGCGAAACTATCTCAAAAAAGGATGGCCATATCATTCATTCTCAATCCAGGAGATTGGATTGATGGACAGAACACTTTAGGGATAAGTTCAACTGGCGTTCGTTCAGACACACTTCGCTTATCCATGATTTCCAGTCGACCTGAATGGCAAATCGATGTAAGTCCTCCAACTCTTATTGAAGTTGAAAAGGCGATTGGAGATCTGCAGGGAGGGAGAGCAGCAGCGCCTGACTGGCTTACGCATGAGACTTTTAGAGACGGTGGTCCAGTATTAACAGTTAGATTGAGTGAGATCTTGGGCAGAATTCGGGAACTGGACGCAATTCAATCTGACTCGTCTCAATCATTGATTGTCCCAGTTTGCAAAATTAAGGCAATCACAGAAGGATCAGTTTGACTAACATATTGTCTAAGATATCAGGGATGAGATTCTTCCCGTCGAAATGCAAAATGGTGCATCCGGATTGTCCTGTGCTGGCACCTGAACTAGTGATAGGGAGTGAGATAGTTGAGTGTGTTGACCGCTTCACTTATCTCGAGAGTCTCATCAGTGCTGATGGCCTGCGTGGTGACTGACGAAATCTCAGCGCGGATACAGAAGGGTCGGTTGGCTTTTGCCAACCTGCGTCACTTATGGCGTGGGCGAGACATCCTTTTGCGCATCAGTTCGCTTCGTCCTACTATATGGATGCGAAACATGACCGGTAAGAGTTGAGGATATTTGTAGGTTATTAGTATTCGATTATAGATGTCTTCCAAGCATTGCTCGTATATCCTGAGACAACCGAGTAAGTAATGCACTTGTTATGAAGGGGGTTCTAGGTTAGGATGATAGATCAATTGATGAAGTATTGAAACTTGATCAGTTGAGGTGGTTGGGACATGTGTTACGTATGGCTAACCACCGACTGCCTCGTCGAGCTATGTTTTGCGATGTAGGAATAGGTTGGAGGGAAGCAAGGGGCGGCCGAGCCAAAACATGGCAAAATTCATTAAGTCACTGACAAATGGACTGAACCACGTTGGTAGGTGTCGACTACCTGGTTGTGGCCCACGAGATGATATTAATCGATGGTTAGAGACCCTGAATGACATGGCTCAAAATGGTTTGCAATGGTGCAGGTGCATTCGTTCTTTGTGTTCTCTCGAATTCTAACCTTCTGAATTGCTCATAACTTTTTCTTCCTCTTTTTCATTTTCTTTTACTAGATTCTATTTCTTGAATAATATCTTCTGACCCTAATCTCTCTGATTACTGCTAACACTTCTACTACCTCTAATACTATGTGGTTTGAAGTGATTATTGCATCTCTGTGCTAATGTGGTATGGCTACTTGAACTGATGTACATACGTACGAAGTTCTACGTTGTTGGTGACTGACTGACTGGTAGGAAAAAACAGACACTCATAGTAAATACGATTAACGATACAAGAATTCATGTTATATATTTTATACCACTACTTACTTTGAGTAAATTTTGGAATTGGGAATTTAACGAACACAGTTGAATTTCATCTGTATGTTGCAATACAGGAAGCAAGGTTGGGTGCACTAGTTTTAGTGATTCCGGTAGCCAAAGTTCGTTAAATGCTCTAAATTACCAAATAATTCAATGAATAAGAATAAAAGTTACTTATGAATGTGTATTGTTATAAATGTTGATGATCAACCTCTGAATGACCAAAAGATTACAAGTGATAATTGTACTTACCGAAGAACACGTAAAACTGGTGACAAAACCGGTTCCAAGATGGGTAGGGAAATATTTTCAAGCTAAGAAAATGCAATAAAATTGAGCGAGGATGAAAGACTTCGTTAGAAAATTATACTAGATTTAAAATTACCTAGTGTTTATAGACATTTGAACCTTTATATGTATGGGATTATTGAGCTTGAAAGAATCCTGTGTTAATTTTTTCCCTGAATTAGGGGATAAATAACTAAACTAATAACACCTAAGATAGCTCTATACAGACAATAATATTTTATTGTTATAAGGGATTACTGTTAAGGTGTGGCGCATTTATTGATGCTCCATTTTACCAAGATACTTTTTTGTATAATACCAAGTTAGTAATAGTAATATGATAAAATATTACTTTGTGTTGGATAAATGATGAATAAATTAGCTCAATATAGCCGAATCAGAGTATGAATCAATGTGCGAGACAAAGTAAGAAAGAGATGAATAGACATAAACCAAAAAACGTTAATCATTCATTACCTTAAATTAAGATTATTTGACAGTAAACCGATTTCAATAGCACTAGTGAATTTTGCTTACATTTATATCTTCTAATGACTGGTTACTTAAAAATTCTTTTTTATTTCTATTTCCTAAATATTGCTTCTTTGGAATCAACTGAATCGATTGAATATAAACTTATAAATTGATACTAAAATGAAAAGTACGTTTTTATACATCAAAAACATGTGAATTTTAACCGGAAGTTCCATGGATTTGAAGATAAGCATAATGACTACATAGTAGAGTAATATATGGTTAAGGTCTCAGGCTTTCAACCAGCAGATTACAGGTTTAAACATCGCATAATCCATCTCAGTTTTATCATCGAGATAGTATCACCGGTAACTACATACATTACACTTTCAAGTCTAATATATACATCTTTCCTTTATCAATGAGTTACATTGTTAGTATACCATATTACCAAAACGATATGAGAAACCAATGGTTTCGGAAAAATATCTTAGAAGAAATATCATTTTAAAGATTTATTAGTTCGCAAAGCGTTTCGCTTTTTTTGTCTATTATTTAAATATTTCATAAAATCTTGAAATTGAGTAGAAGTAAAAGATGGTAAAATATTATTAAACTGTACATTTCAAGTTACTTACGAAAGAATATATATAATTTTCAGGGGATTAATACTGAACAAGAACAACAAGAAATATTAAAACTGATTGGCAAATGTTTGCTTTGATATTTGTTACTAGACAAACATAAAAAACTAATCAAACAAATAATATCAGTATTTCGAAGAGATTCATCAATAATCACACAAAATAATAGTGTCAATATGGTGTTTGTAAATATAACTAACATAATCCCGTTTGATAAACTAGTTATATATTAGATTATTATTATTATTATTATTATTATTATTATTATTACTACTTCTACTACTGTGTTGAAATACACAAGACAGTGTTAAGAGGAAAAGATTGTTTGTTTAAACTTAACATGATTAACAAATATTAAAATACCTGCTGATGATTGCACGGTTCTGCAAGACGTCTACAAACAGCCAGTAAAGAACGAACGTTGTGACTTAAATTTATTCGGGTTTGAACATGTGGAGATTCAAAGTTCTCCAATTGGTCAGAAGATTTATCAAGACCCAAAACTGAAATTAAACCAGGTGCCCCAGATTCACATGCACGCAATAATTCTGAAAGTGGTATGACATTGTTAGGATCTTGGCCACACCATGGACCATAAACATTAAAAAGCAAACTTTGAAGGAAATCGAACTGTACATTGATTGGCTGAGGAACACGAAAGCTGAAACAAGAAAATTTATTGATTTAAAGGATAATCTGTAACAATAACAATTCAACATATTTCTACGATACATGGAACATTCACCACTTACCCAAGTATCACTAAAGCTTCTAAAAGAATGCTTTTCTCCATACTTCCACAAATTCTCCCCATCCAAAGTTTGTTTACTTCATTCAATATTTTATCGAAATAAGGCTACGAAAAAAATAAAGTACTAAAATCAGAGAAATAATGGATTTTTTAAAGAACAATCTTACATAAAAAAGGTAATATATGGTTATTCGATAGCAAGGTGATCATGGCAATGATCAAACCAACTGTAAATAAATTACATATAGATAAATCTATTCTGTTAACTACATTTAGATTAGTCATCATAATTAACACTAACTTAATGTAAGGATCACGAGATCTTGGTTATAAGTAGACAAAATATTAAAAACATTCGTCATTAAAAATCATCACGCTTGATTGTGCAGGTGTAATTGATATTATTAAGTCACTGAACGTTGGTAAGGATTGTTTTCAAGACCATTAAATAGGTCATTCTGTTCTGCCGATATTTTATCAAATTGATTATTATTCCATTTCAATACATTTTAGTGATAGGTAAACTAGAAAGAAACAAATTGTTAGAAAAAACACCATACAGTTAAATCATTCCATAAAAGTAGTACAGAACTTACCATTATTCGAATCGGATGAGCACGAGTGAAACGAAGAAATGATGTTGCAGATGCTAAGTGCATAGTTTTAACTTGCCGTGGTCTATTTACAAAATCAAGTGTACCAATTGGAGATCGGGATTCATCCACAGCAGGACAAGAGTTTAAGGATTCAAATATCTAAAATATAATTAGGTGACAATTATTCTTAAGCTACATAAGTAACATTCCAACCTAAATTGTTACATAAAACACAATCGTTAGGTACTATGAAATGGAATACCTTGATTGATCAAGGTCATTCAGGTGATAAACAAACTACCACAGTATGTACCATTCTACCGTTAGTCAGCATTTAATCAAATAGAAATAAATTTCCGGTTTTATAAACAACGTTTAAATGGCTCGCAGAAAAACATGAATTAATATTTTGTTTGGATAAAAGAAGTGTTGTAATGTTGTAACAAACATTATTAGTCTGAAGATCGAAGTTAACGATTTAATAAGAAAATTCACAGTATAGGATACAAAATCAAATGATAATTCTCAAACTTCATAAATCAAAGTTCCTGTTTAAGAATATAAATTTGTGTAAAGCATAACAGATAAACCTTATGGTATTTACTCTACTATAATCATCAACTTCTCTTACTATAAGTGTTTCGAACAGTTTCATTGTTTTAGGGAATATTCACACTGAATAAATTATAAATTGGAACTCAAATAAAAGTACATATGTATCGTTAGAGCCTATTTCAAAGTTAATTTTTTAAGAAAAATTAAAGCAATTCAGTTTCAGTGTTTCTAGCTTTCTAATGGTGGCCTAGTATTGATCGACTGTTGATCCACTTAGTGGGACTTAGCTTCAAATATTAGTGAATCGTTTAAACGTATGTCTACTTGCATGAAAAATGAATTTACATATTTAATTACTTCTAGTTTTTAGTGTAATAAGTGTTGAACCACCAGTGAAATATCCTACATGAACAGCAACAATAAAAATTACCTTGTCTAAAAAAGGCACCAAAAGTTCCGAATCACTATTTGAATCAATATGTTGTAATAACATGGACAAACAAGCTAAATGTTTAGCTCTAATAAGTGGATCCATATTAGTTGAAGATTGTAAAATCCCATGAATCAGATTTTTCACTTTTGAACTAACATCCATATCAATATGACGAGTTGTTAATGATTGTTCAACTGCTGATAGGCATGGTTCTAGAAATGAATCTAATGCTTCCCATTCGAGTAAGAGAGGTGAAGTGGCTAACAGGAATCCGGTTGTTTGATCATAATCTGGCATGTAAAACAAAGAAAAACACGGAAATGCACCAACGAAATGAAAGTTGTAACACACTAAATATAAGAAATTAGGAATAATTTCCGATGATTTATGTAAAATAAATAATTCTAGATTAAATTAATTAGTCATAGGAAGTTAATTTATTGATTATGACCGTCTAACCTACCTTGACAAGAAGGACTCGTTTGCGTTAGTGTTTCAATCCATGATATACACAAAGGTAGAAACTTCTGAGGCCAACAAGATGCTCCAGCCGATAAACACTTTACTAGATCATGTCGGTAGCCTGGAAAGAAATAAGCAAACAAATGTCGTTAGTTGATTTCAGATATATAATTTAGATACACTATATTCTCACAGTTGTTAAGATCTTGTAAGAGATGAATGTGTACTTGGGATTAGAGTTTTGTTCTTTATCTTTGATTATTTATAGGTAAAAGATGGGAATAATATTATTAAGGTATAAGCTAGAAAAATCAGCTAGCTGACAGCAACAAACTTAGGCAACTTTCAAAACATAACCCACATGTAATCTGTTCATATTCACACCGAAAACATTCGAATCAAGTTACTCAGTTACTCATACTGATTACTGAACGCAAAAAGTGCTTAACATAAAATCCTAAGTGAAATGACAGTATGCTCAGGTATGTTTGTATATGCTCAATGTTTAACCCGATTTGTTTACTCAAGAAGTAACTTATACTAAGTTACGAAATGTCAAAAATCTCATTTCCTACCTATTGGGATATTGGAAATATATATCTATCTTCATTATCATTACCCTATAGCTGTGAGTTAAGTTTCTGGATAAAAGATTTATTTGAACTACAACATTCAGTAAAACTAATCACAAGTGAAAACGTTTATGATGAATGACAGAAATATCTGTACAGCAAAGGGAAAAGAATACTACGACGAATTTGAATAATAGTTTCTCCCGTCGCATTACAGATTTTGAACCCTTTTGGAATCAATCACATACTTTGCTGTCATATTTAGAAATCCGAATCGCGTAAATATATAAGTAATTTAGTAAATAAGCCACCGGAAACGGTATATCCTTGTAAAATATTTTTCATAACTCACCGGATACCACTTTAAGTTCCAAGTTTTCAAAACAACATCCAGCTATCATTAAATCATCTGGAGGTGTGATACACTGATAGTCATACTCAACTTGAACAAACAACACCACTAAACAGAGATTTTGTGATGTCAGTTACTAATGCTGAAATTGTCCAGGCGGTGGACCTACGTTATTTTGTTTTATTCTAGGACAGATATAAAACTTCCAAAATTTTGTGATACATCATGATTGGGTTATCTGTAGTGTTTAAAGTGTTTTAACGTTATTTTAGAATACCAAAATAGAAGCGGATGATTTCAGCAGACAGACAAAAAAGTTTAATTTACAAATAACATAAAAATGACCTGGATGGGGTTATATTCTTCATTATCTTTTGAAATTATATTCATAATACTACCATAAATATAGTTTCGTGTTCATTCTTAAATTTTGTTTCTCTTTGTTGACTTCCTAGTGATAAACTAGTGAAATGTATGATACGTTCAATAATGGATTATTGTCATAAAGCCTATGTCGTGTCTGCTTATCTATTAACTGTCGGGGGATAAATATTACTTACGCCTATTACTCCGCCGTAAGGATAAAAGTTGCAACGTTCGAATTTTGATCTCTTATAAATCATAAAGAAAGTTATTTATTTTATATTGTACTTCAATTATTGAGAGAGATTAAACGAACTTGAGATCAAGATAAAATTAACACTTTCCTACCGGTTGAGGTAATTCATACTTTAGTCAGTAAGATGGTTGCACTGTAATCAGGGTAACTGTTAATTTAGGAGTAAAAACACAGCGGACTGGAGTAGAATATCTAATTACTCAGTGAAACAAATTCTTTGAGCAATTTACTTCCTAGTATGTAACTGAACGATCACTGAGTAGAAATCAAGTTCTTTATTGTAATGATAGAATATTATCAATAAAGCCACCTTGTAGCAATTAGTTTAAGCGACTTGAGATCAAGTGCGTAATATTCAGACGAAACATGGATGTTGGAGGTAGTCAATAAAACTAGATCCGCACTCAGAATGACTTGAAATACATGACATTAGACACCACACTGATCAACTGTAAATACAATTCAGTTCTGCAAGAGGTCAGTTGCGATCTGAATACACGAATGGTAGTGTCGCTGGGTGTGAAGATGAGTGAGACGAGATCAATTTTGTTAGGAAGTGACAGTTTCCAAAAGATTACAGGTGTACCAAGCTGGTGAGTTCCAAACAGCACGAAACTTAGATTCAGGGTCTCCTGTCCTTTACTTCTAAAGAGTGATATCTATCTGAAGTTTGTGCTGATGATGTTGTTCAGAAGAACAATGAAAGCTCCACAACCAAAACAACCAGCTCAGAGAACGAAACACCACCACAAAGAGTGATATACCACTCATTTTGGAGCACATGCTTAGATTCACATCATGCTCTAGTACAAGTGCGAACTGATTTGCATCTTACTGAATGTAAGAAAGAGATATCAAAGAAATCCTTCAATGTTCTACTTATTGACAGCAAAGCCAACAGTATATTTCAGGAGCAACCAGAACAACACTTAGGCAGTCATCTAACTGATTCACACAATAACGGAGCTCGGAACGATATCCAAAAACATGTGGAAACAACAGTGATATCTACCAGTGAGGCAAACCATAAAGGTTCAGGGAGAAACAGTGGGTCTCAGTGGCATCTGCCGAACCCATAGATGCTCGGAAACTCATCCCAAATGGCTCCGAATATCATGAGGAGCGCAGTCACCTCAAGCGCAGGCTGATCAAAAGTCTACGCTACGGTCACGAACACTGCTGGGTTGCGAAAGTAAGAGAGATGCAAAGGGCAGTGGAAATAGCTTACAGTAGGAAACTGTTCACACTTATCAAGGAAACCAGTATTAGGAATGAAATCCGACTGTTCGCGAAACTATCTCAAAAAAGGATGGCCATATCATTCATTCTCAATCCAGGAGATTGGATTGATGGACAGAACACTTTAGGGATAAGTTCAACTGGCGTTCGTTCAGACACACTTCGCTTATCCATGATTTCCAGTCGACCTGAATGGCAAATCGATGTAAGTCCTCCAACTCTTATTGAAGTTGAAAAGGCGATTGGAGATCTGCAGGGAGGGAGAGCAGCAGCGCCTGACTGGCTTACGCATGAGACTTTTAGAGACGGTGGTCCAGTATTAGCAGTTGGATTGACTGAAATCTTAGGTAGAATCCGGGGACTTGGCGTAATCCCATCCAAATGGGTTCAATCCCTGATTGTCCCAGTTCTCGAAAAATAACAAAATTCCTCTTGTGACAATCACAGAGCAATCAGCTTAACCAATATAGTGTATAAAATGCTAGCCTCGATAATACTTCAACGTCTAACTAGAGAGCGTGAAGAGCAGACTTCAGAAAACCAGGCTGGTTTTAGACCTGGACCTGGATATATACACTAGATATTAACTCTTCGTCAGGAACATAGACAAATTTCGATGTCCCACTATAGTTATCTCTCTGGACCTTAAAACGGCATTTGACCCTGTCGATCATGAGGTTCTTAAGCAGTTTCTTTCACTGAGAGGAGTACCAGAGAAGTACATTAATCTTATACAAGCTTCCTACTCGAACACTACTGTTTGAGTGATAGCTTATGGCGAACTGTCATCAGAATTCATTACTGCAAGCAGGGTCCGTCAGTGATGTCCACTTTCCTCATTCGTATTCAAATTTGTTATTGACATGCTTTTAAAGATGATACTTTCATCACGTCCCTTTCAGGAGTTGACCTTCTACCAGGACAGTCGGTTATTGATTTAGAATGTGCCGATGAAGAAGCTGACAAAACGCAGTGTTTACTGACTACCCTAAGCAACAATGCAAGCATGTTCGGGATGCGATTCTCCCCTTTGAAATGCAAAATGTTGCTTCAGGATTGTCTTGTATCGACACCTGAGCTAATGATAGAGAGAGACTTATTTGGGCGTGTTAACCGCTCAACTTATCTTGCGATTCTTATCAGTGCTAATGGCCTGTTGACTGACAAAATCTCAGCACGCGTGCAGAAGGCTCAATTGGCTTACGACAAAATTCTTTACTAATGGCGTAGGTGAGATATCCGTTTGCGCATCAGTCTCTCCGTCCTACTATATGGATGAGAAACACGGCTGGTAAGAGTTGTGGATATTCCTAGGTTACTGGTTTCTGACCATTAGTTACCATCATCTCGCAGACCCCAACCTGGTGGACTACACCTACCAATATATATATATAATTGTTAGAGAAAATCTATAAAAAGGCAACAAAAGAGTGGATTTTTCAAAACTACGTCGAATAATAATTTTCCATATTAGTGACTATTTTCAACTTACGGGAAAAAAAGCTAGTATGATCATCGGTCTCGAAAATTCTTCGGTTCCATTCACTTTGAATACCAGTGCCAGATGGTTGACCAACCTGACAAATCAGCAATAAAATATGGTAGTTATTATAGTAAACAATTATTATAAGTTGACCTATTTGCTATATTTTGCGACTGAGTGATTTTAAAGAATTTTCAAACATTGACTGCCCGTCAACGTTATATACGCATACCGCATCAATAAAATATAGTTATCTACTTTATAGGAATGTAAACTTCATTTATGACCCACTAATTTGATAAGTCACGTTTATAAGTATGTCGTTACGTTTTAAAAAGAGTACTTTTCGAATTTGTTTTGATAATCACATTACAGAAAGTGAGTGAAAGATTTCCAATAGAAATTTTACCATAATCACTTGAAACCATTAACAACTGAAAAACTTATCCGAAGTGTCAAGCAAAGTGAAGTGAGAAATTTATAGAAAATTTACTTCTTTCTATATCACAGTATCGAATAATAATAATGAACTTGAAAGACCCATGCACTCATATCACTTATAGGACTGCACTTAATTTAACTGCGAAAGGCTTATAAATTGATAAACGGAAAAAAATGAACTAGATGTAACGGCGCTAAGATTTGCAACCCAGCGGGTTTAAGGATGAAGGCCTGAATAGTTGAATTATTTATTTATTTAATGTAAATTACTTATTTGACAAGTGACGATACTTGAACTAGTCTGTAGTTGGAATGACGATAGTAAAGGGTGGTTACCTGTAAAAATTGATCAAATTAAGATAGCACCAGAACAACAATAACCATGATGCACCTGAATTTTTCAAGAGCACAAAAGAAGTGAGCGTTGAAACCTGATGGATCATCTTTCAGTGAAGCCGATACAAGGATAAAACCCAAGACATTATCTGCTTGAAATGCTTACGATGGTTTTATCTACCTGAATAAGGAGATAACTGATGACAATTCCATGGCTATGCTAGTATGATAGTACTTTGCCTAAGATGAAGCTTGAACTCGATTCAACATGTTGAATATGTTAAAGTGAACTTGGAAATTGATATCTTCTCTTTACTGGATATCAATCTTTTTAGACGAAAAATATAACATTTGCAAAAGTCAGACTAGTTTCTGTTTTAGTAAGACCGTAGTGGAATGTTTCAAACCTTACGTACTTACTTACTTACACCTGTTAGCCCGAATGGGGCATAGGCCGCAGAAGAATGTTCTCCAACCTACTCTGTCCTGTGCTTCCCTCTCCAGTTCTGTCCAATTTTTGTTTATTCTTCTCATATCTTTCTCTATTTCTCGGCTTAATGTGTTCCTTGGCCTTACTCTGTTCCTTTGACCATGAGGGTTCCAAGCGACGGCTTGTCTTGTGACGTAGATGGGTGCTTTCCGCAACCTGTGTGTTCTATCCACTTCCACCGCTTCTTCCTGATTTCCTCCTCCACTGGAATCTGGTTTCTTCTCTCCCACAGTAGATTGTTGCTTAGTGTCTGGCCAACAAACCCGAAGTATTTTGCGTAGACAACTGTTAATGAATACTTTTATCTTCTGGATGAAGGCTTTGGTAGTTCTCCAAGTTTCCGCCCCATACAGTAGAACTGTCTTGACATTTGTATTGAAAACTCTGATTTTGGTGTTTGTCGATAGTTCTTTGGAGTTCCAGATGTTGTTCAATTGTAAAAATGCAGACCTTGGTTTGCTGATCCGCGCCCTCACATCTGCATCCGATCCACCTTGCTTGTCAATGATGCTGCACAGATACATAAAGTTGTTAACGTTCTCCAAGGCATCTCCATCAGGAGTGATTTTGGTTTGGACATGTTGCGTTGTATCCGAACGTTTTGCTTTTCCCTTTATGTATGTTGAGAACTGTTGCTGATGACGCTGCTGCTACATTGGTCGTCTTCTCTTGCAGTTGTTGTTGAGTGTGCGATAGAAGAGCCAAGTCATCTGCGAAGTCCAGATCGTCAAACTGCATCTTGACTATCCACCGTATACTGTGCTTCGCTCCAGATGTTGACGTCTTCACAATCCAGTCGATCGCCAGGAGAAAGAGAAAGGGTGAGAGTAAGCAGCCTTGCCTGACACCGGTCTTCACCTCAAACAAGTCTGTCAGCTGTCGCAAGTGCACGATTTCGCAGTTTAATACATTGTAAGAATTCCGTATGATATTGACTATCTTCTTCCGGCACACTATAATATCGAAGAAGCCTCTATAGTGTTGTCCTGTCCACACTATCAAATACGTTTACGTAGTCAATGAAGTTGATGTAGATTGGTGAATTCCATTCAATTGATTAATCCTTAGTGATCCGTAATGTTGCAATTTGATCAGTACACGATCGATACTTACGAAATCCAGCCTGTTGATCTCGAAGTTGGACATCTACGGAGTCCTTCATTCTGTTTAACAACACTCTGTTGAATGCTTTGCCTAGTATTGGAAGGTGATGCTCCTGTAGTTCGCACACTTGCTGAGATCGCCTTTCTTTAGTATCTTGACCAAATATCCTTCTTTCCAGTCTGTTGGTACTTGTTCTTGATCCCGAATAATTTTGAAGACAGTCTGGAATAGTTTTGCAGTTGCTACCACGTCTGCTTTCGCTGCCACAGCTGGAATGTTGTCCGGTCCTGCTGCCTTGCCGCTCTAGACTTGTCTGATAGCCACGCTAATCGCTTCAATTGTTGGTGGGCTTACATCGATTGAAAGGTCCGTGGATGCTGCCTCGATGTTGGGTGGGTTCAGTGGGGCCGGTCGATTCAAGAGTTCTTTAAAGTGCTTTACCAACCTGTTTCGCAGTTCTTCAGTGTTGCTGACTACTTCGCCTTCCTTGCTTTTTACTGGTCCCTCTGGTTTACGATAGTTTGTTGGGTCGTACAATTGTCTCAAGTTTCCTTCTCTTGCAACTTTTTACGCCATCATTGCTAGATCTTCCACATATTTACGTTTGTCGGCTCTGATGATCCTCTTACTTGCTCGTTTGCTTCTGTGTATTCAACTGGTGCCTTGGCTTTCTCTGCTCTAGTTCGGTTGATGTTTATTGTTGCCCTTTCTTCCTTCTCTTTTGAATCTTATCCAGAGTACCAGCAGAGATCCATTCCTTGTGATGGTACTTCCTGTGGCCAAGAAGCCACCTTGCTCCCTTTTCAACTGTTTTCCAAGGTTGTTTTCATGCCATTGATCAGATCGTGCAAGACCTTAAACCTATTGCTGAGGGCTTTCTTAAATTCGTTGAGCTTTCCAGTATCCCGAAGAAAGGCCATATTAAACTCCTGTGATGTTTTCTGCCCCGTTGTCCAGTACCTCTTGAGTTTCAGTTTCATTTTGGCGACCAGCAAGTGATGATCTGATGCTACGTCAGCCCCTATCTTGGTTCTCACATCCTCCATGGTCCTTCTGAAATTTTCATTGATGCAGATTTGGTCGACTTGGTTCTGAGTAGTGTTATCCGGTTAAATCTATTTAGCTTTGAGTATGCGCTTGTGTGTGTCGCCGATGACCACTTTGTTGAAGGCACATAGGTTTGTAAATCTCTCACCACATCGTTCCTTTCTCCCAGTCCATGTCATTCTATGATGTCTTCATTTCTGGTGATGTCAATGCCAATCTTGGCATTTAGGTCTTCCGTCAGAAAGGTCAAATCCTTTGATGAGCATCTGTTGACGACTGATTGCAGCCTCTCATAGAATCGATCTTTAAAGTCGTCATTGTAGTCATTGGTAGGTGCATAGCATTGTATGACGTTTATTGTAATGTCCTGTTTATTTGTTTTGAGGGATGCTTTGATTATCCTGGGTCCATGAGATTCCTATCTTATCGGTGCCTTTTGTACTTGTTTGGACAGCATCAGTGCAACTGTTTGTGCGTGAGGCATTCTCTTCCTTCATGGGCGGAGTATAACAGCAGCTATCCTGAAGCTAGTCTCAGTTGTCCAACTTGCGTCCAATGCGTTTCACTAATTCCAAGCACATCCAGGTTGAATCTTTTCATTTCTGCAGCAACTTGGAATAGTCTTCTGGTCTCCCACAATGATCGAATATTTCATGTACCTAAAAGAATGATTCCTCAGGTTGTCAGAAGGAGCATCGGCCTCGTGACTACTGAAGGAACTCGAAGTCATAATTCTTCTGAAAGGAGACCATCTAACTCCCAGGGCTGAGTTAAAATGGTTTGAATTACGTTTTCTGGTTAGCGTTTTTTAGCGAGTTAGTTTTTTATGGGATGGAGTCGCCAACTCTATGCCCAACCCTCCTTCTTTATCCGGGCTCGGGACCAGCAGTAGCTCCAGAGGGGCTGCAGGTGGAGTTATGTTTCAAACCTATTAAGTTTAATTTTGAAAAGTTTTTGAACTTGTGCATTTCCATTGTAATAGAACAGTCAATCGATAACAACTTTATTACGATCATGAAACCTAGAGTTTCGCAGTCGAGTCTTTTTTCAATTTTGGATGGATCCCCCTCCCAAAAAAAGACGCACAGCAAACCTTTCACCTTAATTTGATTTTAGTTAATATTTTCCATAACAACTGAAACGTTTGGTGATGAGATGAGTGCACTGAATTGTATAAGAACTATTCATAAATAACCTCTTTTTAGAGTCAACTTAGCTGATATAATTTATTAACTGAATGACTTACTTTTAATGAATTTTTTCGCCATATGCTAAATAAGTCGTCCGCAAACAGTTCAGTTAGCTTTAGTAGAGATTCTTCATCTGAACGGAGAACAGTGATCCAAAATTTGTTTGTGCACGCCGATATCACCTGGTACCAGAAAGTCGAACAGTACACAAAACATAAGAAAATACACTCTACATACGAAAATGTCACACAACTTTTATGTAAAGCGATGTTTACAATGTACAACTTAGTAGGTACGTACGTACATAAGTTCAGGTTGCCATACCATATTGGCACAGAAGCAGTTGTCACATCGCTATCAGCCACCGATGGAAGGATTCGATAGAAGACTGCCGCTCATTCTGGGGCACATTCAGATTCAGATCATGCTCTAGTAGGAGCGCGTATTTGTTTGCCACTTACTGGATGTAGAAAAATTATCGCAAAAAAGCCTCTTAGAGCAAAACCGAGACACTGTCTATAGCAATTAGTCAATCGAAATACTGATATTATAAACGGCAAAAATGCGTAAAAAAATAAGGATTTGAATAGGATTTTTAGTATCAATTTATCACAAAAGGATGGTGGAAATATGATAAACTTATTTTCTGATTGTTTCACAGACTTAAATATTTCTAATATCACTACTAAAAACGTACATGAATTGGATAGGCAGTCAAACGTAAAGTTGTTTGGATGAGATGTGATGGTAAATTTGGACATTCACAGACACCATGGTTTAAACAGCTGCATAGAGTGGATTCATATGAATACTCCTTCCAATGGATAACCATATGACAACCAATATGGATTACAATATCACCGAATAGCCTTAAGAAGTTGTAACGTTCATCAGAATACTCAGGATTTTCGGACAAAGTAGCACTGAAAGTACAAAGAATATTGTGGCTTACTTTTTAAAGGAAGCAATTAAAAATGGAGTAACCAGAAGGCTAACTTACCATAAGATTTTTATAAGATTATTGCACGGAGATGAAGACCCCAAAGGTTCTTTCAGAAAACTATCAGCAATAGTTGGGCCATACGAATCTGGAATTTCGGATCCTGGTTGTATTTTTCTGGATAGCAAGATATCTATCAAACTTAAAGCATCACTTTGTATACTCCGAATTCCAACAAGAGTAGTGATTAAACTCAGAAATGGCAAGGTGCGACTAAGATTGAGGTTTTTGATCGTCATATCTGAAGGGGTCCAAGAAGTTAAGACACTTAGACGACATGATTCGAGAAATCCTCCCAATGTATACAGTGACTCGCGACAAACCTCGACTGAATCGCAATCCATAAATGAATTCTAATTTGTATTGAGAGCAAAATAAATAATGAACATACGGAATCTAAGAGTAAGAGTCTATCCACAATACTATCAAGAGCGAAGACAAATATCTCGGACAAGTTGTCATTCAGACTTGTTAAAATGTCACGTCGTCGAGATGGTGGGACATCTTGGAAGTGTACAACATCTTCATACAGTCTTAAGAACGAATTTAGCACTAATTTAGTTTGAGGAATCTAAGATGAGCAAAGTAATAGGGAAGGAACATACTCCTATCTTTCCAAGAGAGAGCAATTCAGGTAACATAGTAAGCCATTGTTGAGGCCATTCACATTTGATAAGGAAAACAATAATTTGACTCAACATTAAACTGAAGGCACGCATTTCTTCTCTAGAAAACCGAAAATTATTAATCTAATGCAATAAGAAATAAACACTGTATACTTCTCTTGAAAGTCCAAAAATATTTTTCTTCAGGCTGGATTTCGTATGAAAGCTGATCTCATTCCAATGATTTCTAAAACTTGGATATACGCTATACGGTAATACTTTAGGTAATGATCTAAACATTGAAGTCCAAAAAGTATGATAACTGAAGGCTGATTTGGATTGCACAGAAAGTCAACATCGGCGAATTGGAATTGCTCATTTTTGTAATTCTCTGTCAACTGAAAAATTAAAACTAACAATAAGACTGTACTATGAAACATTCATTTCGTCGATTATTATCGATGGTTGGGTCCAGGAGAGCAGAAACTGCCACAAGAAGTGACTCTCTATCCATTTATAATGTCCAGTTGATCTATAAACAAAGAAAAGATAGAGAAATTACTGCACGTAGAAGCTAAGTAAAGCTGTCTAATCACATAATGCTTTCAACTAAAGGAGAAAAACACATAGAAAAACAACAACAGTTTTTCGGAAGTCTGGTTTCAAAGAGACTCACCAAACCTTACCAGAAGATACTGCCATATGTCAAACAAATTTCAGAAACTAACGCAGTAATTGTATACTTATGAAAAATTTAATTTCAGAGTGTTCAGTCTTATTGGTAGTCATTCCCACAATTTCAAGTAATATTTCATGAGTGACGAATGTCATTACTAAGAACTGTCTAGAAGCTATTTAGCTGACGGGCATTTTACGAGCTCCATCATGACTAATGGGTCCTAAAAGTAACGGTGATACTTTTGGAAGCAACCGAAGTAGTGAAAGAATTAGTATTTTGGGTTAGAATCAGACTCTAGCACACCTATCTTATGAAGGCATTCCGAGGCACCCCAACTCATTTCCATTTTCTTACCGTATGTTATGATTTAAAACTAGCTTATCGACTACAGAACCCGGACTGTGGTAGTAGTAGAGTTTGCTTTCTCCTTCTACCTGTCCTTTTACAGCTGTAGATACCAAAAACTACTCTGACACGATGTGACATCTCATCTCAGTAACACATCAATTACCCGATCGTTTTGAACGTTTAGGATTGATTATCCGGGCACACTTTTAGGCGTCTCATTTTCGGGTGAATACAGTGAGAAATACAACCGGCCGAACATATTTAGAGATGCAAGACTTGTTCCAGGACACCAAGTCAACGCATGCTTGTCCGTATTATCTTTACAAACCTCAATATTGGTACACCATGTCTTGCTTTATTCGATGACGCTTAGAGTATTCGTTATAAGATAAAATTCAAGATTCTTATTTAATTTATACATCAAATTGAATAGGAGTTGAATGATTACTAATAGCCAACCTAGTATTTGAACTACATTCACAGAACAGGTGTAACGTCCCACGTCAAAACCCCGCACTGAAATAACCTTCTATTGAAACCATGGACATTCATAAGTGTCAACATTTCTGTTCCGAAGCCGTGCTGGTGGTAGAGGGTGTGGAAAAATTAGTCTTTCCATTGTCGATTGGTTGGATCTTCACGTTTATGAATATCCTTTCAAGATGTCGTTAGGTCCGAAAAAATGTGGCTCTTAAACACGCTAGTTCAACATATTTATTCAACTTGAAAAGCAGTGCCTTCATTGCAGCGAGCAACAGAGCCCGTAAGTCAGTCACGTAATGGTCATGGAAGTCATTCTATGTATATCCTTATCAGGCTTCAATGTTATCTAGACGGGATTGTTAGTTGAAAGAGGGTGGACGCTCATCTCTAAATTTAGATGTAAATGGCTGGTGGATATAGCCCAGTTTAATTAATTCGTGACGATTAGGCTAAAAGTAGTGATAGCTTCAGTAACTGAATGGATCAGAGTTTATCATCTCACTAAGTGTGCCCAAATAATCAAACTTGATAAAGAAACGCATGAAGTCAACCTCTATATGTATTCTGAGCGTGGTGTTTATGTTGGGCGAATGGGAAGAGCACAACATATAAAAGTAGTTATTGTATGTCATGGCAGGCATGTTGAGATCAACCTGCATCTTGATTTGCGAAAACTATATAGGAGAAGATTTCCTAAGAGAGGCAAAAGCGATAATTGACTTAAGAAGCGGTAAAATTGTCACAAAATTTGGTTCATTGCCAATACACGTAAGGAGCGAAGTGGCTGAAATAAGAGTGGCAGCGGACGTCTCGACCAAGAAACGAAACATTAACGAGCTATGTGCAAAGCATGTGAAACTTTTCACCGGAGATGGGGAGCCGTATGGATTTTGTGACAAAGTTAAGCACGAAATTCCTATAAAGAACGACCGAGTAAATGTATTTGAAACACGTCGTGTCCCGGTGCATTTAGAGGCCAACGTAAATCGACAGGTCCAGGGAACGTTGAATGAAGGTATAATTGAGGAAGCGGACAGCCCATATAGCTCACCGATACTCTTGGTAAAGAAACTCAATGGAAAGTATAGATTTTGTGTCGACTTTAGAGAACTGAATAATATAACAGACCTGAAACCTTGCGCAATGCCGACAGTAGTAGAAACATTAGATCGGCTACAGAATGCCACTGTGTTTACAGTGCTGGATTTACGGTCAGGTTATTGGCAACTACCTATAAAAGATAGCGATCGCAACAAGGCAGCATTTACTGTACGGGATAAACAGTATCAATTTAAACGAATGTCGTTCGGGTTGGCGGGTTCACCGTTTCCGTTCAGAAGATTAATGACGCTGCTGCTCAAGAATCTAGATAATGTTGAGGTATATGGCGACGATGTAGTTGTGTATAGCCTGACGGAAACAGATCACGTCAAGTATGTGGAAGCAGTCTTAAAGCGAATTGACGAATTCGGGCTTCGAATTAATAAGGAAAAGTTGCAGGTAGCGAAAAACAGCGTTACATTGTTGGGACATAAAGTAGGAGATGAAGAAATAAATCCATTACCGGAGGAAATTCTTACCATAAGAAATATTGCAGTGCCTAATTCGGTTGCCCTCACCTGTGTTCTCCTTCACTGCTACTATATGATTTGCGTGGCTGGGATGGGACTATAGGCTGCATCTGTTAATGTACGTACTGAGATACACGTTTCCTTAGATTAGTAGTTTCTCCGAACAGTGTATCGGGGAATGATATGGGTAGGCGTGCTGTTGTAAATCCTATCTGTTCCTCGCCTACCGCTTGTACTGTCTGCTTGTGTTTTCGTTGTTTCTTCCTTGTTGTAGTATGACGTGAGCGCGGCGACCTAGCCGGTTCCAGGAAAATGGAGTACTGCATTCACCTTTGGTAAGGTAGCCTCCAGTCGTTGAAAATATCTAACTGAAGTGAGGATGAAATTAATTCCTTTAACTTTTAGAGTGTATCCATCAAAAGTACCAGTGTGGAAGGCTTAGAGAATTTGTTAGTTTGTGAAGTCATTTACTGCTACTATTCATTGAATATGCTAGCATCACGTTTTCGTGGTCAGTTTCTGATAGTTTGCTGAATTTCATCCTTTTCATGAATTGTAATATCTTTAATGTACAGAGTAAAATTTCGTTCAATTTATTTTAATAATTGCTGACGTTTTTTCTGATTGATTGGAATTGGTGTCGTAGGTCAAAACAGTTTTACGTTCAAAACGTAGTCTACCCTTGAATATTTATGATGAATTCAGATTCGGTAATTGGCTATATGAGATATAAACCCGTTTTGCTCGTAATTTATTTGAGAGATGCTTCATTTCTTGCTTATATTGAGTTCATATATTTGCTGTTGGAGAATGACACTGCCGATTAGAATGCGCGATGTTTTTCCTCGTCCATAAAATCAAACAGAAGTTCGGGCATCTACAACAGTGTATGCTTGTATTGAATGTGAAACTTGGCGAAGAGGTGAGTGATCAACTTCAAGACCTAGAAGCAATGAGTTTTTGATGATTCACATGCAGTGGAGTCCAGGAGATTGTTGAATCAGTTGTTGGTGAATGCGCCTCTCAGTTTATTTTATCTGGCGACACAAGCAAACCTCTCTCTATCCGAACAGTCAGGAAATGAACGTCATGCCAAAGTGGTAGCTGAATATATGCGATAACAGTAACTTTAACAAATGACTTACCGGCACTGATTTGAGGACTTCCGACAGCTGGCTTGTGGAGATTATGGAAATAAACTGAAAACAAAGTTTACTAATATTAGTCTCCTTTATTTTGCTTAACGGTTGACTTACACTTATATCAGTTGAACTATGTTTATTCACTATCTCTGTACGAGAATAAAGTTCACGGGACAAAGTTACATCAACTGAAACGTGATTTTGTGGAATGACATCAGCCCTTCCATGGTTTGTTCCTGGATTAAAGAAAGTTGAATTATAGAAGTATTGGTAGTGACTGATTTAGAATTGTGTTCCAATCGCATGACTTATTGGCATCACCTAAACCAGCCAATTCATTCTCTTTGGCAAACTTTGCTCTTCTGATCCAGCAACTGGATTAAATCCTGCAAGAACTTTCATTGTTAATCATCCAATATGACTTTGGTCAAGTAACAGATGATTACAGCACCTAACTGACTACATTGCACCCATATACCTTATGAAATTGTGCTACTAAGCAGAGTTTCCATTAAAACACTTAGGGGCACACATAGGAAGTCTAAGAAATGTACGATCAGAAGGACTGGGTTTGACTAAATCTCGACAGTGATTTTCAATCATGCTGTGGAATGCTCCGACACTAGAATACCAATATATCATTTTGAATGGTCTCAGCAGAAAACAAATACCTAGGTCTCTTCACATAACTAGGTGCAACAAAACTTTTGAATTGAATTTAGCTGCATTTATTCAGCAGAGAACGTCTAGGACATATAGAACCATGATTATCTCCAACAGCAGGAATTTCGAAAAAATTCTAGATACTGTCAAGTGGGTACCTAATCTATAAGTGTGGATAATTAGTAGTAGACTTGGATGGCTATAATTTGTTTAACCAAAGCCTGATGGCTGTAACAGTTAGGAACTGGGAAGACCTGACCGAAACACTACAAGCTTGGTACAGTTCGAGGAACGATCTGCCAAGCCACATCAGATGTTGCGAGAGCCAACCTAGATCTGTGAGACAACAGCAGGGAGGCCAAAATTAATGCACAAAACTGACAGTTAAACTCGGTCAACTACCTCTGGCACAAGACATGATTGAACCAACCACGCAGGCAAAAAACCTGCAAAGGCCAGTTCCCACAGAACTTGCCGATTCGGTTTAAATAACTTGTCTGAAAATCCGAAAACGACTGCTGCTGCATATGTGCACCAGGTGCTGAGACAAACCACCAAGTGCCTCTATAGCAACGTAAGAGGACTAAGTGGTAAGCTGTTAGAAATCAGGAATATGTGCTCTCAGATGGATCTGAAGATCATAATCCTAACTGAAACATGGCTATCCCCTGACATTTCAGACGCAGAAGTGAGCTTACCAGGCATGACACTCTTCCGAAGCGATATACATATATATATTTATATAGCCACTTAAAAGCAGAGCGACTATACGACACCCAACTAACTGAGGTGACAGAATCATGTTGGTGTTGTTTCCACTCTAATGGCACGAAATACTTGATTGGAGCGATCTACCGACCTCCGTCGGGTACTAAGGCACAGAAAAGCAAACTGATTGAGGCATTACTGCAACTGCCACTCCTGTGGTTTGATCAAATACTCTTAGCTGGAGATTTCAATATCCCATCTTTAAATCTCAGCAATCAGAGTATAACTCCCACTGGTTGGTTCCAAAGACAACTTGGTACAGCCATTAGAAGCTCTGGGCTGACTGAGCACATATGCAGTGCCACTAGGTGGACTAAGGAAGGGAAGTCCTCAAACCTAGATTATCTGTTAACTAATGACCAGCTCCTGGTTGAGGATGTTCACGTCCGCACACCAATAGGTAGTAGTAACCATGGCACAGGACAAAAACGAGCTTTATCATTTCTACAATAGGGCGAAATATACACGCATGAGAGAGGAGCTCCTACATGCCCGATGGCCACGGGCGTGGTGGAGGCTGACAGTAGATGATCACTGGCAAGCAGTGAGAGATATCATCCAAAACCCTGTCGTAGACAACGTACCTCAGTCACACCAAAAACGTTTGCTGCAGGCGAAGAGGAAAGCCTGGCACAAGTGGAAGGTCTCCTTGAGGGATTCCGATCGCAGTTCTTACTTGGCATTGAGAAACAGATGCAATAACAAAGTTCGAAGCGACAGGAGACAATTCCAGACGAAGTCAGCCGCCAGAATAGAGGCAAACCCGAAAAATCTGTTTAGGTTCATGTCGAAATTAAAGCCTACTAATCAAGCGTTGTGTTCTCTTAAAGGACCAAACGGGGAAGACCTCACCAACCTAGAGAAGGCCGAGATCTTCAACACCACTTTTGCTGATCAGTTAAACCAGGCGCCTACATGTTCAGAGTATTAGGCCAACCCATTGCCAGCTGACGGCTTAGGGAACATTCGTATCACTCCTGACCTAGTATTAAGGAAACTAAAATCCTTACGCCTAGGTAAGTCACCAGCTTGTGACAAAATCCGCGCTATAGTCTTGCAACAGTGTGCTGAAGTCCTCTGTTCACCGTTATGCGACCTGTTCAGGCATTCACTGGAGTCACACCAGTTCCCAGCGGAATGGAAACAAGCTACTCTCTCTCAAATCTTCAAAGGAGGAGATAGAAAGGACCCAGCCTGTTACAGACCAGTCGCACTACTACCTATATTATCAAAAGTTATGGAAGGGCTAGTGGACGAACAAATGAGGGAAAGGAATAAAATACTCCATGATGCTCAACATGGGTTTCGGAAAGGCAGGTCGTGTGCATCTAATCTTCCCATCGCATGGGACAGTTGGACATCCTGTTTACACCGTAAAATACCGGTACACGTAATATTCCTCGACTTTACAAAGGCCTTTGAAACAGTACCTTACGCACGACTAATCGAAAAGGTTGTGGAAATGGGCTTCACTGACCCACTCGTATCTTGACTCAGAAACTACCTTGAGAAAAGAAAGTTCCGCATGAAGGTAAACACACTGCACGCGAGCTGGCGAGTATCCATATCGGGAGTTTCACAGGGGACAATCCTAGGCCCACTTCTCTTCCTGATATTTATTAATGACCTGCTAGGCTCAGTTTGCTCACCGGCATTGATCTACGCAGACGATGCGAAGATCTGGAGGTCCATTAGAAGCGAAGAGGATTCGACTGAGCTTCAAAAGGACCTTACATCCATTGAGAAATGGGCAGTGAAAAACGGTTTAAAACTCAACCAACCGAAGTGCCACGTCATGCATTTCCTGCCTCACATGACGCAAACGCCCTATACTCTCAATGGAAGTCTGCTACCTAATGCCTCCTCAGAGCGCGATCTTGGTTTAATAACCACAGAAAGCCTCCACACCACTCCAAACTATGTAGGGGATGCAGCCAAGGCAAAGACGTCTCTTCAATTTATGCGAAGACAACGCCTGTTACCCACAATGGAGCATAGGCCGCCCACCAGTTTTCTCCAACCAGCTTGGTTCTATCACCTCGAAATTATTTTTAACCCAGTCTAAGACGTACGTGCGTCCACAATTGGAGGTTCACAACGTCATCGCATTCCCTCTGCTTAAAAAAGACAATTCTCCTGGATCGAGTGCAGAGACGAGCAACCAAATAGGTGATAGGGTTGAAAAATAAACCCTACGACGATAGACTGCATCTCTTGGGATTAGTTCCACTGAGCTACAGGAGAATCAGAGGTGATCTGATTATGGCGTGCACCATATTAAACACGCCAAACCATCCCAATGTGAGCATCTTATTACGTACTCACATACGGACTATCATCTCCCTCTTGGACAAGCTTTGCCTGATGCATATCTTGAGACCTGCTAGTTGTTACCAATGCCATCTCCCCAGATCACTCAAATAATCTATCTCGCCTATTATCTCTGTTTCCTCTCCCTTGCTTACACTTCGGTCCTCTCTCACAATCTTCACTACCAATTAATAAACTAAATTCATCTATATATTACTCAGTTCTGAAATTTTATTCATATTACCATTATAACTTTATCCTTATTACCCTTATTACTCTCCACACTGCAACTAACTGGTCTCCGGTCTGGTAATGTGACGGTTGCTAGTATCCAGAAACCCTACTGCCCTGAAACAAACGTTTCATTCAAATCCCGAGACATACAAACGCATAACCAACTGCCAACTGACTAGAATTAGACAGACGAGTGGCTAGGCCTCCATCCATTGGACATTACCGAACACCTGGAACCGTACCGAAAGAACAAGAATCGAGCTTGAAGAAATCAAATTGGTTTACACTAGCTCGTGAAAAAGATATTGGATTGCAACCAAATGGCTAGAATATCACCCGATAGACATTAAAATTATACCTAGGACTGTTGAAAAGCAAAAATAAAGGACTGTTTTGAAATCAACTGGTTTCTAATTGTTCGTGTCGATATTGTATATAGTGGATGTTGCCATAACAGCAGGATGTAGCATAATTTGAACATTAGCGAAGTGATGAGCGAAGTAATTGGAAACGATGGGAATTTCTTGAAACACAAGATGGCACTCATTGAGATAGCTGACAGTTACGGGTTTAATTTGTTAGTTAGATTTTGCTCGGAATGCTATGTCATTATAGATATCAACATCTGAAGAACTGCATAAAACACATGCTATACCAGCAAAGATCAGATGACTTTAATGAGTTTGAAGTCCTAAGTAGTCGTTTAAAGTTAGAAACTAAAAGGCATGGTCCTGGAGACCCTACGAATCTGAATCCTGCGTCATTTTCAACAGCAAAAATTCAGCAAAAGTTGTTTTTGGTATGAACTTGTTGATTAGGTAGAAAGTAACTCATTTATATATCATATAGAGAAATTCAGAAGAAGATGAGGAGCCTGTAGCAGATGAAGGAGAAGAACATCCGCTTCCTAACGTGGTGGAAAATGCATACTATTTTGAGAATGCGGGAGTTGGTATCGGGAAAAGCGAGACTGTTTTATTAAACATGGCTATCAAATCTCTGGTGAATACCCAAGCTGTTCAGACTGCTCGATTTTGGGGGAAAATTTACGGTTTAATTCAGAATTATTACATAGTCGAGGTAGAGTTTCCGGAGGGCGAAGACATCGACGAAGAAGAAGGGACAGATCCAATTAATCGAGATGCAAATGAAGTAGACGACGAAGAAGTAAATGAAGGTCAGTGTTTTTTCAAGACTTGCTGATGAACTGTTAATTAAAATGACGGTACGGGATTAAAGTGGTTTTCAATCAGCCAGGTTCATATACAATATATGTAAGGTTTTACAACTTGGATGAATACACTAGTCTGGAAGTGCTTTACTAATCTTTTACAGCTAATGAGCAAACAAGAGTTGTTTTCATAGTTTTATCACTGTGAAGAAGCCAGATACTCGTCAGTTTGCTTTAATTGCAGACATACTTGATTGTCCTTCTCAGTTCAGTCTTTTACATTGTCTCTCACTCCTGTTCTGAATAGTGATAATTTACTGATTAAACAAACTCAGAATTGGGTTCATTGCGTCCCACTTTTTATGAAAGTGAATTTGTTATGCACAATCCTTTTAGCTTAGTGCGCATCTATCTTACCCCTTGAAAGCTTATTATTCTGGTCCAGAATTTTATACTTGTTTTGAGATTCAGTGAAACGAGACAAAAATGAGCAAAAAATGTTTGTATAAGTATGACATGAATCTGTTTGAATTTATATGTTCTACCGTTTAGATATCACTGACTTCTGCGTCTCAGCCAAATTATATGTATGGAAAAAGAATATAAAGTTTACTCTTGTACTTTTCGGTTACTGTACGTTCTCTACAAAGTGCCACCTAGAATGCGAATAACAGTTTTTTGTTACAGTTGTTTTCGTAATCAGATGTCTTACTTAAGGCTTATATGAATCCGCTATTATTGATTTCGTATTTTGTTTATAACAATCTTTTTCTTGGTTAAAAAACTATATCATACTTAGGATTAGTAACGCTCTAGATTTTTATTACTAAAACTAGGCCTATGCGAGGTAACCGAATTTTAGTAACTTACTTGGCGCTGCTTGTACCTCGTTTAAGTGAATGACTGATTCACTCTGATCTGTTAATGCTTAGAAATATGACGTTACTTGGAAGTAAATCAGATTGCCCGAGCGTCTAAAATATTTCGATCAAGGGTGGAATAATTTTGTACATGTCTACCTTTAAAGGATGGCTGTATATGAACGAAGAAATACCTGTGGGCTGTTACAAATAAAATATCATCAGATTTTGGCTTGTATATCAACTTACTTGGCTCAATACATAACCTCAGTGAACAATTTTAAATTTACTTGCAGTCAAAACTGCCCTGTTATATTTTATCTTTACCGACTTGTATAGGCTGTCTGATGTTGAAAGTAGTTGTTTTAATAAATTTTCTAAAGAATCCTCCTTAGATTAGAAGTTTTTTCCCGATTGAGGTATTTACGTGATGCCAGAACATGTCTTAGTTACTAACTTCACAGATAATTAGGTGCTACCTCGTGATAAATTCATGACATAGGTCTTATGAGATTCCATAAAGATTATTTTAGAAAATTGAGTATTTGAGGCCTAATGGTTTCAAATGAACCGGACCTAACACTAGCTTTTTATAATATGACAAAATATTTTGGCTAATCATTTTGCACGAAATCAATCATTGTTATAGCCATTCTATTAGTCTCTTTAACAGACTATGACAAATTTATATGATTTTTCTTTAAGGAGGCGAAGACATTCTACCAAAGTCCAAATGGAAGCCACCAGTCAAAGTACCGAGAGAGGAGAATCATATTGGCACCAATAAGAAAGCTTATTTTGTGTGTCATGAACCAGGTCTACGATGGATAAAACTTCCTCCAGTAACACCTGAACAGATAGTAGCTGCTCGAGCTGTATGTCTTTCAGTATTTAATAGCAATACAAATAAGATTTCTAAAGATCCTAGAGAAAAATAAGACAGGTATAAGATTCCGACAATTTTCTCTCAAGCCATAGAATTCCATTATATTATTCTTAGATACACATTTGTTAGACACATTTCACTTAGGACAGCCAGACTGCGTTTCTAGCCTTTGAAAAAGGACATAGATCTGAACCTAGAATAGAAACTTGCCAGTAATGACTGCTTGGAAACAAATTAAACAATTACTGCACTTAGAAACATGACCACTGTCGAGACGTTGTGTTATGCTACTTTAGATTGATCTAGTCGAAACTAATTAGATCAAAATTTATTATAAACTGTTTATTAAACTTATCGCCTCAGCTTCACATAATTTACAGTCAAGTCCAAGAACACTCGCCTGACCTGATCACTGAGCAATACCGTACAGTGTGTTTTTAGTTAATGTTAGTGTCTGTTGCCGAGTAAAAACTCGATTTTTCATTCTTAGTATTAGGCGAAAAAAACCCTAGTATCAGATGAAATGAATTTATATTTATTTGTTATATTTGCCCATCTGATTTTATGAGCTATCGAGTTTTATGCGAGTTGATTGATATCTGAACTTTATTTTCTTGGAACAACAATGAAGTTACACCTTAGGAAATCTTAACGCAGTATTTGAAAACTATCTAAATAAATTGAAATTCATCGTCTTTTTCGACAAATGTTAGCAAGTTCATGTGATAAACGCTTTTATTTATGTCCTTAATATAACTACGGTTTGGTTTACATTCAAATTGACATAAGAAATCTTATGTAAAATAGACAAATAATGGTACTGTAAACTATTTTAAATATATGTAAATAATGTTAAACTGGTTTATATCTAAATTTTATTAAAATGCTTATTAAATTTCACTTAGATTCATCGTCTTTTTACGGGGATATTGGATTCTCCGGTTTCATGTTACCCTCCTTTTCCGGGTACTGAAGCTAACTACTTACGAGCTCAGATAGCACGAATTAGTGCATCCACCCAAATATCTCCACAAGGTTACTATAAGTTTGGAAGTAAAGACGAGGAAGAAGAAGAGCTAGAAAATGAAGAAGAAGGTGAACGACAAAACTATGTGAAAAATGAAGAATATGAACCATTAAGTATTACTGAATTGGCTGACCCGAGTCTTGAACATTGGGTTCATCATACATCCTATATTCTACCACAAGGACGAGTTTATTGGTAAGTAAATGCAAGTATGAAATTATTGAGACAGCCAGAAATTGTTAAAGTACATATATTAACTACTGACAAATTAATAAACAGAAAGATTCATTACACTGCAATTTAAGGACTAAACCATGATTCTGATTTTCTATAAATTACAACATCCTAATATAACAAAAAAAGATTGATTATGGAAATTGTGGTGATTTGGCTGATAGGTGCTTACAAAACCGATTTTCTAAATCTAATAGAAAAGGTTGCAAAAGAATATCAAGTCTACTAGCTAAACATTTACTATACAATGAGAGATGTCTTTATATAAAATACATAATTTGTTTTTTTATGGAATGGGGCCGCCAACTCCATGCCCAACCCTCCTCCTTTGTCCGGGCTTGAGACTGGCAGCAGCCCCAGACGGGCTTCAGGTGGAGTCAAAATGCATAAATGATATACCATATTAATAACTTACTTTTAACCTTACAAATAATCATTTGAGGATGAAAAAGGTGGTCGAAAACAATCAATGATCCTTATTTTCCTATTTTTCCTGACATTGCTAATGGACGATCTTATCTTCAGTCTGATAATAAAAGTGTTGGGAAAATCTTCATCAAAGATCTGACTTGTTAAGAAATAGGTAAGTTTTAGTTTTAAAATTTGTTAGGAAAAACATATTCCATTGTTTGAATAAGATGATGGTTGCCAAACAAAAACTCCGTTAAGTTTTTAGATGGAGAAACTAATGAGATCGAACTGTGTGTTCATTATTGACTAACTTCATAAGCTCCTGGTGAGAATCAATGACCTGTTTGGTTAACCCATATCTCTCACCTGTATACGGTGGGAGAAAACTATAATATAATACAGTGAAAGGCATCTTTGAAGGAAGGGGGAACTAGAATATGATGTTCACATTTAAGAATGATTTTATCCAATCGTATGCTGATGGCATTAGATTCTAATGAAATTTTCATATTTTTTTAATTGATTAGGTGGAATCCGAAGAAAGGTTTAGGCGATGATTTTGATGAACTTAATGATGAAGAAGAAGGAGAGGAAAATGAAGATGGTCAAATGAAGAATATCATACAGCCAGAATATGGACCATCTATACTTACTCCGATCTCTTCCGATTTACCAATATTTGGACAAAAACCATGGTCTATTAGGATAAGTTCTAAGTTAATACCAGAATATGCATCTGTTGTTGTGTCATCCAATATCTGGATTGGAGCACATGCAGTATCATGGGGCAGGTAAGTGGTGGTTATATTAATGTATGAAGTAATCGCATGAAAGTTACATCAAACAGAAAAAATAAATCTTTTGGACCCTTAAAAACTATTTTAAAGAATATGGGAAATTATTTGCAATGCTATTTAGGATTTGATAAACCAATATGTCCCATTAATAAGTATTAAATTTCTCCCTTTGTTGAATTTAGATATTTTGTTATATGTTTCTGAATTTAGCTCACTGTCTTTAGATTATATGCAATAATACTCTGCATTTGATAACGTTCATGTTTCTAAAAATGTGCAGATAATATTTGTGCCACTGAGTCTTCTTGTTATTTCATTAATAATAGGAAGTGATCAAATTATTGGTCAGCGTTTTAGGCTATCGGTCTGTGAGTTATGTGTGTCCACTGCAGACTTATATTCGCGCTGCTGCGTCGTCTTCATACTCCTAATGCATCTTTGCTTCCATTATCAAATCAATAAATGTAAATCATTCGAATATGTTTCTGCCGTATTTTCGGGTTCATTAAAAGCGTATTTAAACAAATATGTCCCTATAAAATAATAATTCTTCTCGATAACAGGTCAGAAGTTTTCTTTTGATATTTTAAGAGTTCAGTGAGTGATCATAATTTTCGTCAATTTATATTGTTCAGTGTTCGTTACTATAACATAAGTCTAAGAAGTAATATCACTTAAGTAATATAAAATCTTTAATACTTCTTTCATAGACGATTTGAAAATATTTATATTGGCTGGGGCTTAAAATCAGTTACTTCAGGTTTCCAACCTCAGTTACAACCAATTGAAATGGATGAATATCAAGAGGTTTCCGACTTAAATGAAGCAACAGATCCAACACCTATGGAAGAAGCTGCATTAAGATCTATGCTTAATCCACCAGAAGAAGAACAAGAAAATGAAGATGAAGCTAAAGAGGAACAAGATGAAGACGGTGATGATGATTAAAGAAAGATTATTGATTTTGATAAAAGACAAATTTTTTTGGTAAAATTAAATAAAGATTTGAATTTTGAAATATATTTCTATTTGAAGAAGTAAAAGAAATAAAAATGTTCATTACTTCTAATTTATTTCAGCACCAAAATCTTGGTGATTTTCATAACTAAGCTTTGTGTTGCCTGCAAAGTCTGACAGTGTTAAGCTTCATGTTGTAGGAGTGGGTTGAGTTCTTAAAAAGGACGAAACAGTCGTTTCATTCTAACTGTTTTTCAGCAATATCCCTTCTAATGTCAGTTTGTCAAGGGAATCATCTGCCGGATTCACTAGAATAAAGGCTGAATCCACATTGAATGACGCAACCGAGTTCGATTTGAGTAAGAAGGCAGTCTTGGTTACTCGGAAGTATTTATATATATGTATACTAACAAATAAGGGATTCTACAGTAAATCAAGATTAGTTAAATTTAGGGCTACATTCAAGGTGATAAAACAACAGTGATGTTTCAACCAGTAAGAGCATAACTAGTTTGTTAATAAATAATTTAATCAGTGAGATATAACGACAAGGGCATGAACTTGACTACTCATAAGTAGTATAGTTATAATCCAAGAAAATTCACATAATCTTTTAATAAAATCTGTCTTATAAGAACAGTGCTGACCATTAGTGCCCAGTAAATAATTAAATAACTCTATAGATGTTAATTTTATTAGGCTAAAGAATAAATAGAAGTAATTCTGTTCAACAAAATTGCTGCACTATCGGAAACAACGAAATAAGTTTAATCCATTCATCGAAACCCAAATTATTGAAATACTGCTTCTTCAATACAGGATCTAAAAAAATATTTTTCACTCCAACCAATCTGATGTTTCAAAATATATTTGAAGGTTCTGAATTGATAAATAAATATTTAGATAATCGGATTAATGGTCTCTATACAATAAAGTTGAACGTCAATGGTGTGGTTAGCCTTATGTCAAAGCCCTACCAACCGCAGCCCCACCCACTCTAACTTAGCGTCTGAGATATCTTGTTTCCATAACGCAGTTAGGTAACAAATAATATCATATCAAAAAGATTGTTGTTTATCCAACAGGAGGGATTAGAGAAAAGCAATGTTCAAGAAACGTTTGACTGGTGCATAAGTAGGTTCCATGGCGTTTACTGAATAATTTGAGTTAATGATCCTTGTTTATGACGACTCCCAATATTTAATGATCAGTCTTTAAATGGTGACATACACTCAGCTTGATGGATAAGTTGGCTAGGGTTAAGTGCTATTTTGGCTGATTCCATACACTTACATAACCCTAAATTTAAGAGTTACGGTACTTCAATTTGTATCTGAAAATTCAGGCATTTTTTATTATTTATTCATAAAATGAAGTCAAGAAAAAGAAAATTCAGATTCAGTGACGGATATTTTGAAGTGGACTTTTAATAAATAGTTAGAAAAATCTTATAAGATTCCACTGCACGTAGTTTGTTTTGATTAGTTTCAACTACACACAAGTCTGTCTTCAGTGAGTAGTAATAGAATAGATTTTACTTTGATCACCATTAAAATCTAAGACGTTTAAGTTGTTAACGTGGACTTTTAGTAGTGGAATTTATTCGTGTAATCAATTTATTTGTGTTTATTTTTTTGGTCTTCCCACTGATGTTTTAAAACTGCAGCTGATCAGTCACTTTTGGAAAATGTGCATCTTGTGCAAAACGGCTCGATATTTCCTTTGAGTCAGAGTTGAATGGTCACTAGCAGTGAAACTTAGGACATTCATTCTGTCCTGAATTCCACTGCTAGACATCATTCAATTTATGTAATTGTTTTATCCCTTAACTTTAACGAAATAGTGATGTTCGTATAAAGAAAAGTTTTAATTTCAATCAAGTTTACCAATAGTTAAGTGTATATAGTGTTTTATGTATCAGTTAGATTTCAAAATCAAAATCTGTTTTAAACAAGAGCTTATCGATTATTATTTACTATTTGAGAATTGTAATATGTTTAAACACTGATACGTTTGTTTGATTCATAATGATTTAAATAAACTCTCATTCACAGATCATACATTTTAGACTTTTCTTAAAATTTCTGTCAGTTTAGTTTTAATTATTTGTTCGAAATGAATCGAAAACATCCTTTATAATCATGAGAATAGTAACAACTTTGTGTGTAAAGCTTACTAGGTCTGTAAAATGACAGGTAGATCTGAAGTGAATAAATTTTCTTTTGATGTTAGACTAGTTAATTTGGCTATTGAGCAGTAAATCACTAGTTTAATAAAAGCGATACTATTGCACAGTCCCAGTTTATAAAAAACAGAACAGTAGTACATAAAAGTGGCCAGAAAGTCTGTTAAACTACGTGTATTATCACTATTACCCTTGTAATTTGATCTACAATAAGTGAAATTTCAGAGATTGAAATAATATTTTTATTAGTGATCTACTAGTTAGAGTTAGATCATAATTTCGAAAAAATATTGAAAAATATATACATATTACCATTATTTCCTTCTGAATATTACAGAAAATTATGTGCTGACAGCTGGATGATAAATGGAAAGTTACTCAACTGTAAAGAGATGAGTAGGCAGCAATTTATTTATCTATCGAATCTACCCTGGAACAAGACATTACTATTCTCACTGTTCATAAACTGTGAATACGTGTTATTTATTGTCCTCTATAATCTGAACAAATATTGATATGGTTCTATGCAAAGGAGAATTCTAATACTACGGTTGACGATTTTATAATGCACGAACAATAAATCTACAAATAAACGAAAACTATGTGACAATACACTGAATTCGTTTTAATTTACTTATATAATCAACAGTCAAGTACATGACATAAATTAATTAATAACTAACACGTCACTGTACTTCTTATATCCGTGTTACTCTACTAATTAAACATGAAAACAAGAAACCACCAAAATTCCCGCGACGCGAAGTAAGAACACAAAAGATTGGTACAAGAAAGAATTTATTCACTCCAAAACACGTCACTGGAAAATATACTCGTTTATTTACTGATTTGTATATCTACTTGATAATAGATTATAGGAGAATATCCAGAATTATAACAAAATAATTTCATGACAAGTTTAGTTAACTTGAATTCAGTACAAAAATATAATGGATAAAAATCATACTGAAAATAGAATTAATTTTATCTCTGGCGAATGAATAAATTGAAAATAAAACGAATGTTACTCTCAGCAGTTATCACACAGAATAAGAGTCCACGCATATTGACCCTACAGCGTTGTCGCCCGATACCTTGGTCATAAATAATCATCTCAATAATCATTCCTAACCTATCAGTATCAATAGAGAAAACTTCTTTCAGTAACGTATATGACTTAGTAGAAGATGTAATTGATCTGAAAAATGTGATGTATTTGCGCTATACATTTTAAACAATCTGATTATACAAATACTCGTCAAGGCATTTTATATGAATAATAATAAAGGTCAGTTAAATAGAAGTTCAAATAAACATAAGGTTATAACTGTAAATAAAAGAGATAAAATTAAGATAGTATGGAAAAATTTGGAACTGTTAATTTTCTCTCTCCTTTATTTACAATTATCACCTTATATTTATTTGAACTTCTATTTAAATGACCTTTATTATTATTCATATAAAATGCCTTGACAAGACCCGACCGTAGCTGCTACCTTGACGTGGTGGTCGGGCTTGTCTATCGTGATGACCCAACCGAGCTATACTGGCTGGAACATATGTTCCTGCAGGTCCTACAATGCCAGGCAGGTCGATTGGAGAACGATGAGACTAAAAGCAGCTACCCAAGGTCTGAGGGTGAAGTCGTACTGCTGACTGCAGAGGGGTGTGACAGCAGTAAGGTGTTTCCCTCGGATAACCAGCATCTGCAGCGATGCTGCCTTCTCACAAGGAAGGAAGGGTTAGAATAGGTCGGCCCTAAAAGTGTCACACCTCCCCTAACTCACGGATTTCCGTCTCCTTGGGTTAGGGTGCCCACTAAGGGCCTTTAAGAACGGAGCTAATCCTCAAAAAAACCTTTCATAAAAAGGCCGTGCTTGACCGGCCTCAAGCAGTTGTCCCTTGGGCCCGGCGGTCACGTACCCAGGTCTCTGAGATCAACACTAATCAATTTTCCTTTTCAGGTTCCTCAAGAAACAACCTTCCACGGTGTGGGCAGCCGGGAAGTGACAACCGCCCTCATACCCATAACAGCACACGAGACCAAATTGGTCAAAATCAAATCCTTCTTACACCCCCTAGTACCCCTCTTACATCCACGACTAACTCTTCTCACATTCATTTATCACAGTGCACAGCTAATGCAGACGACACGAGTTCGCGAAACGTCGTTCCTGGTCTCCTTAAACCTCGCTCTAGACTACATGTTGGAGCATTCAATGTACGGACATTGTGTCAAATAGGGCAACAGGCATGATTAGATAGGACTTTAGAATCTCGTGCCATCGATGTGTGCTGCGTCTCGGAAACGTGCATACAGGATCCTAGTAAAATTATTAATCTGATTTCACCTTGTCAAAATAACGAAGCAGCTCGATTTACTCTTCGTGTATCCGGTAGCCCTGATGCTGCTTCCAGGGATCTTGCTGGCGTAGGCATAGCATTGAGTCGTAGAGCTGAAAAATCTCTCCTTGACTGGATCCCAGTAGATAGTCGCTTGGGCGCTGTCCGACTAAATGGGAAAGTAAGGACTCGGAAAGATAGGGACAATCGCCGTTGCCTCTTCATCGTATCTGCCTATGCCCCCACTGAATGCAGTTCAGACGAGGTTAAGGATGAGTTTTACAGAAAGCTTTCGGACCTCCTCCAAGAAGCTAGGCGCTCTGATATAGTAATAATGGCTGGTGACTTTAATGCTCAAGTAGGTAGACTAAGTGAGCAGGAGAGACACCTAGGTGGATGTTATGGTGTCCCGGCTCAGAGAACAGACAATGGTGACCGTCTGTTGCAAACATGCTCAGACAACCGCCTATTCTTAGCAAACATTAACTTTAGGCATAAGGAAAAGCATCTGTTGACCTGGCGACCTCCAAAGTCGTCTCAACGTTGGACTCAACTAGATCACATCGCCATCAGCCACCGATGGAGGGGTTCGATAGAAGACTGTCGCTCGTTCTGGGGCACATGCCTAGATTCAGATCATGCTCTAGTGCGAGCGCGTATTTGTTTGAAGCTTACTGGGCGTAGGAAAGACACCGTAAGAAAGCCTCTTAGGGTTTTACTTAATGATAATAAGGCGAAAAATATATTTCAGGAACAACTAGAAAGACAGTTAGGTGACCATTTAAGCGATTCCCATCCGGAAGCAGGATGGAATGATATCAAAAAGGCTGTGGAAACAGCAGTGAAATCTGCTCGTAAGGTTGACCATAAGGCTAGAATGAAGCCGTGGATCTCAGTAGCATCCACCGATCTGATGGATGCCCGAAAACTCATCCCACCTGACTCTGAACATGATGAAGAACGAAGTCAACTTAGGCGCAGACTTATAAAAAGCCTACGTAACGATCGCGAACAGTGGTGGGTGGCGAAAGCGAAAGCGATGGAAAAGGCGGCGGCGATCGGCAACAGTAGACAACTTTTCCGACTTATCAAGGAAACTGGTATTAGGAATCCCAGCGTAAGTGAGACTATCTCAGAAAATGACGGGACTATTATTTATTCTCAATCCAGGAGACTGGATCGATGGGCAGAACACTTTAGGGATCAGTTCAACTGGCCACGAGCCACTCTTCAGTTACCCACGATCTCCAGTCATCCTGAATGGCAAATCGACGTAAGCCCCCTAGTCTTTATGACGTTGAGAAAGCGTTAGGAAATCTGAAACGAGGACGAGCTGCAGGTCCTGATAGACTGACCCCTGAGATATTCAGGGATGGTGGTCCAGTTTTGGCAGCTAGATTGACTGAGATCTTAGGTAGAATCTGGGAACTGGACGTAATCCCATCCGACTGGTCTCAATCACTGATTGTCCCAATCTATAAGAAAGGACAAAAGTCTTCTTGTGACAATCACAGAGGAATAAGTCTAACTAATATAGTATCTAAAATATTGGCCTCAATAATACTTCGACGCTAAACGAAAGCTCGTGAAGAGCAGACTCGAGAAAACCAGGCTGGTTTTCGACCTTGACGTGGCTGTATAGACCACGTCTTCACACTCAGACAGGTCCTGGAACACAGACACACATTTAGGCGTCCTACAATAGTTGTTTTCCTAGACCTTAAGGCGGCATTTGACTCTGTGGATCGTGAGGTTCTGTGGCAGTGTCTGTCATTGAAAGGTGTACCAAATAAGTACATCAACCTCATACAAGCTCTCTACTCGAACACCACTGGTCGAGTGAGAGCTTATGGCGAACTGTCACCGGAATTCTCTACATCAAGTGGTGTCCGTCAGGGATGTCCACTTTCTCCATTCTTGTTTAATTTTATCATAGACATGCTCCTAGAAATAACCTTATCGTCGTCTGAATTTTCAGGAGTAGACCTTCTACCAGGTGGCTCGCTTATTGACTTAGAATATGCCGATGACATTGTCCTACTTGGTGAAGACGCTGACAAAATGCAGAGTCTTCTGACTACCCTAAGCAACAATGCAAGCATGTTCGGGATACGGTTTTCCCCCTCGAAATGCAAAATGTTGCTTCAAGACTGGTTTGCATCGGCACCTGAACTAGTGATAGGGAGTGAAGTAGTCGAACGTGTAGACCGCTTCACTTATCTCGGGAGTCTCATCAGTGCTGATGGCCTGGTGACTGACGAAATCTCAGCGCGGATACACAAGGCTCGATTGGCTTTTGCCAACCTTCGTCACTTATGGCGTAGGCGAGATATCCGTTTGCTGACTAAAGGACAAGTGTATTGTGCGGTGGTTTGCTCGGTCTTACTTTATGGCTATGAAACATGGCCAGTGAGAGTAGAAGAAATTCGTAGGTTACTGGTTTTCGATCATAGGTGTCTTCGATGCATTGCTCGTATATCGTGGGACAACCGAGTGAGCGACGCTGTTATTAGGAATCGAGTGCTAGGTAAGAATGGCAGATCAATAGATGAAGTGGTGAAACTTCATCAGTTGAGGTGGTTGGGACATGTGTTGCGTATGCCCAACCACCGACTGCGTCGTCGAGCTTTGTTTTGTAGTGTAGGAGTAGGTTGGAAGAAAGCTAGGGGTGGCCAATCCAAAATGTGGCAGAAATGCATGAAGACATTGACAAGTGGACTTAGCCATGTTGGTAGTTGTCGACTACGCGGTTCGGGTCTGCAAGATCAAAGTCACCAATGGTTAGAGTCCTTGAATTACATAGCTCAGAATCGTTTGCAATGGCGCCAGTGCATTTATTCTTTGTGTTCTCTCAAATCCTAATCTTCTGAGTTCTTCAACACCTCTAGCTTTTACTTTCTAAACTTATCTCATTGAATCACACTTCGTGAATAATATCTTCTAATTCTAACGTCTACGATTACTTCTAATACCTTTACTGCCTCTTCTACTATTGGATTTGATGTGGTATGGCGACATGAACTGATGTACTTACGTACGAAGTTCGACGTTGCAATTGACTGACTGACTGACCTTGACAAGAATTTGTATGACCAGATTGTTTAAAATGTATAGCACAAGCACATCACATTTTTCAGATCAATTACAAATTGTCCTATAAAAATGTATATAAAGGACTAATTGTTCTCAATATGATTTAATTGCTGAGTTATATCTCTGCTCTTTCATAACATTCTTTAAGTCTGTTGACTGCTATGTTACAGAATCGAGATTTCACAAAATTTTGTTAATGGACGCTTCTAGGTATTTTAGTAGACAAATAACTAAACATCAAGTGTCCTTTGTTTTTTCAATTTACAGAAAAAATAAAGAATGAAAGGTTTGACTTCAAAGTAAATTCAAGTTCTTTTTCTTCCCACAGACTTAGTGCTGTTCTGTAGAGTGTGATGATGTGAATAGGAAGCAAAGATTTTTTAAAATAAATGAATGCTAGACATATTTATCTTGTCTAGAATGGACTGCTGATCAATTTATTGAATAATTAACTTATTTCATGAATGTACTGATTAAGTTATGATTCAAAAGTTTAAGCTCCTTAGAAAGTTTCAATGATAAAACAATAGGAATTTAAATTTATTAGTTCAATACACAATTTATGTAGGATAAGGTGTCTTTCAGAAATGGATTTGAGAAAAAAATAACCATATGCTGCTTCATTAAATAACTTTTTTAAAAGTTTTTCTTCGTCTACTCAGTGTTTCTGAATGAACAAGAAAAGAAAGTTTTACGAAAGAGAACATTTTATTAATACAATTGGATATATCTGTTGAGTAGAAAAAAAGCTAATAACAGACAGTTTTGATATTGATTCGATGAAAAATATTCCCAGTCAAAAATCATAAAAGTCAAAAAGATCAGTCTACAAGAAAATAGGTTCATATAAATAGTAACATGTATAAACAGAAATACAAATTAAAATGTGAAATGAACATTTTGTAAGTTGTGCATTACATTTCTTTTCATTGCATAAGGATAGTTTCCTTTTAACATGATATAAATAAGTATTGTGAAAGGATTCCTGCTATTTAATACTGTGTTTATAAATAAATATCACTCAACTGTCTGAAAATGGATATTCGTTTTGTGAAAGTAACAAGTGTTTGCTTTGAAAATGTCACTGTCAAAGTTCCACTTAAAAATTCCCTATGGTTAATATCAGGGTTGTGGATGGTGTATAGATTTTTGGAATCACGAACCGATCAATGTTAGGGCAAAACATTAAAAACCTGGAAGGACGAGACGGCAATCCAGCACTTTCAATGAAATTTCAGATCGATTCAAAATTGTATAGTTCGCTTATTATGGAAATGACATACCTATAATATACTAATAAGCGGACAAATTACTATTTCCAAAGCTTGATAATTTGTGCCTTATATAATATGAGATACAATAAGCATTGAGAATTATGTTTGGATAGACACAAACTTAACGAATTTTACAAAAGTAAAGATATGACCCTATTGAATTTATTTAGTTGAAATTAGCAAATCCTTTTTGGATATCGAAATTTATGGAAACCAATTTTATCAAGGAGAGTTAAGTTGAAATTCAGTATTCTTTATTTTCAACTTATTTGGTCAAATGGAACCAGGTTCCTAAATCTACAGTGATATATGTGTGAATACGACCAAATTATATAAAACTTAAGCAATAAACACATCAAGTAACCAGATATATTAATTAGTGCTCATATTTTAAGTGAAACGTATTTATGAAGTAAAGAGGTACAAAATCTGCTTCAAGCTGCACTTAGAGATGGAAGCTTTAATTTACAATAAATAGATTTATTTAAGGTCAAATTATATAAAATAATATTTATGAAGATTTATTGTGTTTAACCTACCGCTACATAAATGTGCATTTTTTGGGGTAGAATTTACAAATGAAATTGACTGATTAGATCGTCTAATTATATAGTGACTCCATCCATCTTTCCTTTCAAAACAGATAAGACTTCTGAAATATACTAAAGAACAGTTTGACTCCTTATTCTTCTACAAAAGAGAACGAGAAAACGTGGAATAAACACTTTTGAACATTTGAAAAAAGTGATGTTCTGTAATAATAGACAATTCAATAGTTTGTAAATGTGCTTACTTCCACCCAAAATGGCAATCTATTTTGCCCAGGTAGTGGTTGAAAAATCTTTTCGAAAAGATTCCTTTCGAAATTTCTACCTTATTTTATGTGCAATCATTCATCTATGCCTCCTACCTGTAGGAAAGATATCTTACAGAAATTTTGACATACTTACTTACTTACGCCTGTTAGCCTAATGGGGCATAGACAGCCGAACAGTGTTCTCCAACCTACTCCGCCCGGGTTTCCTTTTCCGGTTCTTTCCAATTTTTGTACATTCTTCTCATATCTTTCTCTATTTCTCGGCCTAATGTGTTCATCGGCCTTCCTCTTTTCATTTAATCTTGAGGGTTTCAAGTGGCGGCTTGTCTTGTGACGCAGTTCGATGCTTTCCGCAGTGTGTGGCCTATCCACTACCACCACTTCTTCCTGATTTCCTCCTCCACTGGAATCTGGTTTGTCCTTTTACATAGTAGATTGTAGTTGATGGTGTTTGGAAAACGGATCCGAAGTATTTTGCGTAGAAAACTATTAATGAATACTTGTATCTTGTGAATGATGGCTTTGGTAGTTCTCCAAGTTTCCTTCCCATTCAATAGAACTGTCTTGACATTTGTATTGAAGATTCTGACTACGGTGTCGGTTGATATTTGTTTGGAGTTTCAGATGTTATTCAGTTTTAGAAATGCAGCCCTTGCTTTGCCGATCCGCACCCTCACATATGTGTCGGATCCGCCTTGCTCATCAATGATGCTGCAAAGATATGTAAACATGTTAACGTCCTCCAAGGAATCTCCATCAAGAGTGATTTGGCTGATGCATGTTGTGATGCGTCGGAGAATTTTACTTTTTCCTTTATGTATGTTGAGACCTGCTGCTGCAGAGGCTGCTGCAACATTGGTCATCTTCTCTTGAATTCGTTGCTGAAATTTTGACATAAATAATAGATACATTGGTTTCAAATTGGTAAGGCTGTGCAGGGAAATATATCATATAAATCTTTAGGTAAGCTAAGTAGATTTATGCCAGCTGAATCTTACCTCGAGATTGGTCGTAAAACCAATAAAATATTCAAAAGGGAGTGGCTGTAGTAAAATACACATAATAACATTTCCCGAATATATTTCATAACTGTTTATTTGGCGACTGATAAAACTCAGATATTGTTTATTTAGTGTCGATATGTTGTTTGGGGTTTTAATAAGTAAAGCGATAACTTAGTGAAGTAATATCATAAATATGATAGTAAAATAATATTGGCTTGAAATCTCTTTCAGTATAGTGACTGAAATGAAACTTCTAATTCAGAAGATTCGATTAGGAAATTTCTAAGAATTATACTTTGTACTTGCTTGACAGTGGATATAATATGGTTAGGAATACGAAATTTTGTTAGTATTATCCGAATAATCTTGTAAATAGCTTTCATAGACCAAAGGAACTCAGCTCGGATGCAGCTGAACGATCTTGACTTCGCAGATGATCTAGTCCTCTAGTCTCACACACAACAACAAATGCTGGAAAGGATGGTCATCGTGGCAGCGGCCTCTGTATTAGTATGTCTCGACATATACGAGAGAAAAAGAAAGATCTTCTGATTTAGCACAACGTGCACCAACCAAATCACATTTAATGAAGAAGCTTTGGAGAACGTGGAAACCTTCTCATACCTGGACCTCATCACTGATGAACGAGGTGGATCTGATGCAGGTGCAAAGACACGGATTAGCAAAGTAAGGGCAGCATTTCTACAATTGAAGAACATCTGGAACACAAAACACCTATCAACGAACAACGAACCAGAAATTTCAATACAAATATCAATGCAGTTCTGAAGCGGGAACTTGGAGAATCATGAAATCCATCATCCAGAAGAGAGTTTAATAACAGCTGTCTATGAATTGGTAGTGGACCTGTTGGCCGAACACCATCAGTTACAATCTATTGTGAGAAAGAACAAAGCATATCTTAGCTGGGGAAGATATTAGAAAAAAGCGCTGAAGGTGGGTAGGACACACATTGACGAAAGCACCCAACTACGTCACAACACAAGCTCTCTCTTGGAATCTCCAAGATCAAAAGAGAAGAGAAAGACCAAAGAACACATTACAGAAATTAGGTTGAACAGGTATGGAAAGCTCAGGACAGAGTAGAGTGGAGAATTCCGGTCAGCGGCCTATTCTCCATAAGGGATAACAGGTGCAAGTAAGTAAGTAATAGATTGGAAAAATTTATAAAATAAAAACCCTGAAGGTTAGACCAAATGAAAAATATTGTAATGGGTTATAAATTGACTGAATGTTCCTGTTATTTTATATTGTTTCAAGTACGTGATTCATAAGTTTTTTGTTGATGAAACTATCTGTTCAGAATCATTGGAAATAGTATCACTGACGATTTTGAAGCATCTGGATCAAGTTTTGAAATTATGGAGAATATTGATAGATCAAGAGGAGGATTTCTTAGATACGTTGTTTGTACTAGACGGTTCAATCGTGATGATATTGTTACGATGAAAATTTAAGGCTTCATGCATAAATTAGCCAACGTAAATAGAACAAGTTTAATATTTAAACTTGACTCAGCTTAATATTATAAAAAATGGCAATTTACTGCCACATGTAAAACGTAGGTTTTCTACTTGCTGATATTCAGTATTAAACTGGTAGGTCTGTATTCACGTACGCTCTCCTTAAATAGATACCTTGATAACATTTGTATCTGCAGGTCAGAATGTTGGCCACTATTATATTACTGAATCATCAGATTGATATGTCTTTATCTGGATGTAGAAATCACAGTTGTAATGTAAATAAATTCATCTGACAAGTTCTGATTAGAATGAAACTTATATCTTGGAGTCTTCTGTTAAACAATATCCGTTAATTCATAATAGTTTTAAATGATTTTAAACAATAAACATTCAACTAACAATTCATTACAAAAATTTATACTAACCTTAGAATAGAAATTTACACTTAAACATTTTTCTTGAGTACAACATAATACTAAACAATCTTGTAATTCAAGCGGTTTCGACTGAAGCACTGAATATGTTGTTCGAGTGTTACTCAGTGCTGTTGCTTTTTTGACGCATTGTTCTAAATTAGTTGTAGTTGTTTTGTAAACAAATGAAATAACAATAGCAATGATAGGTAATTTATGCATTAGCAGTTGCAATGAATGAGGTTTACTAGATTAAAGGGAATTTATTCAAATAAATTTTTATCATCTGTTTCGATTTAAGTATTTCCGTCCAATTTTAATTGAACCAATCAGAAAAAAAAGATTAAGCAAATATAAAGATATAAACTGTCTATTTTATTGTCTATTTCTATTGGTAGTTTTTGATTATTGAATTAATAATTGACAGTTGAAATATTTTAACTAGTAAACTGAAACTATTGGTAACCACCCACCTGATTAAGAGCAAATTTTTATTCATGCAATCTAGTCAGGATGTTTTTTAGAAGGTAATTTAGAAATCAAACACTTCATCTCATAGAAATTCATAGACAAAACCGTCCTAAAAATTATAACTGAATGAAATAGAAATATTGATAAACTAACATTGAAACATGTATTATCTGTGCTTTGTCTAAGCCTATCAGTATATTTAAACTCATGGTAATGGAGGTGCGTAGAAAAGTTTTAGGATAGTTTTTAGGAAACACATTCAAAAAATGATTTTAAAATTTAGTTTTGCGGTTATACACTGACAGTAGATGGACAGAGTAAAATCAAAGTAATTATTTAATCCACAATTTAAGTGAGCCTACTTTACGACAAGTAGAGCAACCTGTTTCATTTAATTTTCTGGAAGTCAAAGTAAAATTGTAGTGACTTAAAATTTGAAAACATTTACAGGATATTTAGTAAACTGATGCATCAAATTGATTTCATTTGTTCTCCTTTTTTTTCTAAACAAATGATCAGTACAATCAAGTAATATTTGGTTTATAGAATCTTTTCGTTTGAACCTTAAATTACTCAGATAATAAGCAAGTACATTTTCAATTATTTTATGTCTCAATTTTTATTTAACGATCTACTTTCTTGATAAAAAAATGGCAGTTTATTTTAATGCATTTCTAATATTTAAGGGCTTATCGTGGTTAATGTTTTCATTTACAAGAGAAATACCTATGCATTCACTTTCGCAGAGAATTAATTTGGAACTTTACATTAGAACTTAGTAAGTACTTTTGTTATGATAGCGGCAGTTTAATGAATATTTCAGTAACATTTGTATTAGGAGTAAAGCTTGAAATTTGGGTTCGCATCAAATGACAATGATGACTAAATTTTCGACGAGATACTTTTAAATGATTTACATGTGGAATTCAGACAGTTGTATTGTATAAATGCGCCATCTTTAATTACTGGTTCTTTGTAGTGACGTTATCGAAATGGCTAAGTTCAAGATCTTCTTAAGAGTACCTCAGCTCATTTTATATTCTAAAGAAGAGGTTGGATTGAATAAAATCGTTGAAAACTCAACTGTTTATTATTGAGGAGTGATACTCATAGTTGCACAACCTGTATATATGCTTTTTTATATCACCTCAAGCATTTATGAAAAATAAGTTGAACGAATGACTCACAGACAGTACATATATTCAATGATGAATACAACTGATCGAAGTCAAAAGTGAAATTTCAAATCATTTCAGTAACTAGAAATCGACAAGAGAAAAATTTATATGTATTAAATCTGAGTATATCCACCCAATGATTTCAGGGCTTTAAGTTGTTTTAAACTTATTAGAATGTTTCAGAATGCATAGCGCAATGTCAATAAACAGAACAGAAATATTCTTCTGAATGTTATTATATAAATGTCGTTTTTCTTTATTTAAATTTAAAATTCAATGAAAAGTACACAGTGTTTGAGTACATATATTTCATGTGAGTTTATTACATTACGTTAAAAAAACATGTGTATAAATAATCTGATTGACAGTTCCTTGTTCACAGAAGTAGAATTAAGAATGCTTATTGATGTGAGTAACATCAATACAATTAATTTCAAATGCTACAATAATATATTGTTTTATATATAAGCAAATATGAGAGTACATAAATGTGCTGCGGAGAGACAGGTAGAATAGCTATTTAACAAGTAAACATTAGTATATGAGTGATGTTAACCATAGTGATGTTTATGAATTTATTTTATAAAATATATGAAGTGATAGACATTCGTTTATCCAGGAACATTTATGAAATATCACTGCGAAATAAGTAATGGAACTATCTTTATAGAACAATTGATAAAGTTTTAAAAAGTAGGAGTCAGTCATCAAAGTAAGCGTTTTATTCATTTATATCTCACTGTTTGATAAAAATAAAGCTTCTGTACTTAATTAATATATACTCGCTAAGTTTCTTGTTAATTGTAGAGTTATACACGTAGTGAAAGATAACTAAAAGTGTCCAAAGGTCCTTATAGAATATTTTTTGTTACTTGATGAACAATACTGAATTTATGTAGTAATAATATCCTCAGGTATCAATAAATATGGCTTATAAATTACATGAAAAGGATTGATTTTATAATAATAGAATTATTTCTAAATATCAAGTTTTTACGCTTTATAGTAATGACTGGCAAAACATATTTCTTACTTGTCAATCATCTGTGTAAGCAAACATGTGAGAAGTCATTGTAATATATGCGGTCTCCGCAGATAAGAACAGTATTGAGGTCCTTTACAAATGAAGAACCAATCGTTCATCTACTTATATCGTTTATGATGTAATAAGCAACTATTTCAGTCACCGAGTTTCCTTACCAATCTATTGTATGAATGTATATGTCATCATTGGGGACATTCTGTGATTTATAACTTGAGAAAAAAGTCTCGTTTTAAATCATTTAATTGAGCTATATTGTTGCAAAAAAGTTCAGTTGTGTAGATTAGTGTAATATTTTAAAAATAAATGTGTACTTTGAAATATAAACTTCTGTTCATTGTAAAACGTATGACATATTTTCAACTTTTCCATTGCTTATTGCTTTGCAAGGGTTCATTCACCTAAGAATTTTATGCTACATCCTTGACCCTGGATACTCTATCCCACAAGCAGGCACCCAACGCATAAAACTGTCTTTCTGATAACGTACAACAGCAAAGTATCAGTTTACATAAACAAAACTGGTCCAAAATTCCTTACTTTCTAGCTTGTAGACAGTATATTAGGAAAAACATGGGAGCTAAACTATGAGAGTGAGTGTACGTACAGGCCAGTAGTAGGAAATGTGGGTCTAAATCATTAAAAGCAGTGTACATTAATTTCAGTTTTCTTAGGATCTGTGCCTTAGGATTACTATTTTAAGTTATTATCCATTTTATCTTTGATAAATGAATTTTAAAAGGCTTGAATAACTGAGATACTAGTTGTGGTATTACTAAAATAACATTGTTTTCACTTTGGTAGTCTATTCACGCTTTCAAATTTTGTTCACACTGAGATGTATGCAAATAGAACTGAATCTTTACCGAGAAAGTATGTTCCTGAAAGCAAACCAGATCGGTTTTGATATAAGAATCTACAACATTGGTTTATATTACAACTAGTATTAAAATCTTAGATGTCAGATAGTATGAAACTCTTTGATTACTACCTTTAAAGTAGCTTATTTTTTAGAAGCTGTTTAAAATTAGATTAATAATAAGAAATAACTTCTGAATAGTTTTGTTCAAAATGGACATTAATCGTTTATAACTTCGAAGATTAACAATACTGTGTTCATAAAAGCTGACTACTTTGTCGAGAAAAACATGTTGAAACTGATTTTGTGTTGAAAAAAATGACTAAACACAACAGCATTATATTAATTTTAGCAAGTAATCTAATCTTTAGATTTAAGAGGCAATTCAGTAAAAACCAGAATGAAACTTAGTTTTTGAATTGGGAATGATTTGATTCTATGCTCAGTAAACATCAAAATACGCATTATATATTTTAGAAGACAAACTTCTAATTTTTCATGTTATCATTAGTTATTGTGTTTATATGCTGGTCATAGTTGCTTTTATGCATTTCTAACACACCAACATTAAACAAATATAACGGGATAATTACCTTGTAAAACGTTTTATCTTCTTACGTATATTTAAATCCTTCTTCAGTTTGTGAAAAATGTTTAGCAAACATCGAAATCATTAGTTTTTGGAAGTAGGCGAAGATGATATATTTATTTTGTTAAGAATTTTGATTGGCAAAAAGTATCCCATTTGAGTTCTAGCATAAATATTATAACTAAGATACAGTTGATATACTCAACTGACGAGTCTCGAACGCTTTGGAACGCGGATTCCACTATCCAAGTACTCCGAATAAACAAGTATAAAGGAAATGTGAGGTAGCATATGTTGATAGAGATACGGTGGACAAGTGAATTACAAATCACGAACATTATAAGCAGAGATGGGTGATGGTTAGCAGTGAAAGCTAGGACGCGCGTTTTGTCCTATTCGAGACTATTCAGCTGGATGTACCCGCATACCAGAAGTGATGTTCACTACGTCAATCGAAACTGCATTTGTTTCAAACACTATCGCATGATTCACTTAACTACACGGTCCACATAGATACTGTTTTGTTTAATCAAGTGAATTCAAATATATTGGTTGTTTGCATCTTCCTGTTGTTATTTAAGAATGGAAATAATCCAAAAAACCATTTCATCTAATGTCACAAGTCATTTAAATAAAGACCTATAACGATCTGCTTATTGAAAGTTCGAAACAATTTGTAGGATATATCAGAGGATACACTGAAGCGATTCGGAGAATAATAATCTTAGGCCATAGTCACAAGTTTAGTTGTAGAAGGATAAAACATTAGTTAAAGAATGCTTGTGATATTTTTTTCTGTTCTCATACATGTTGGTAGGCTTCGATTCTATGAAATTGTCAGCATATAGATGCAGATTGTCAATTTGACCACTAGACTGTAATTTGTTTTGATCTGAAACCGATACATAGTTATTCCGTGTAGTTTTGTATCACTAGACAACCTGAACATCATTAGTAAACCGATTACCTATGGTAGAAAAACGGAGAAACTGAAACACGGACTGACAGGGAATAGTTTATTGCAAGCTTGCTAATGAGTAGATCAAAGCAAGAAAATATAAGAAGTTATCTATGGTATATGCA